ACTTAATCTATCCCCAACCCATGTGTCTGTGAACTTTATCCCCAGCCCATGTGTCTGTGAACTTTATCCCCAGCCCATGTGTCTGTGAACTTTATCTCCAGCCCATGTGTCTGTGAACTTTATCTATCCCCAGCCCATGTGTCTGTGAACTTTATCCCCAGCCCATGTGTCTGTGAACTTAATCTATCCCCAGCTCATGTGTCTGTGAACTTAATCTATCCTTAGCCCATGTGTCTGTGAACGTTATCCCCAGCCCATGTGTCTGTGAACTTAATCTATCCCAGCCCATGTGTCTGTGAACTTTATCCCCAGCCCATGTGTCTGTGAACTTGATCTATCCCCAGCCCATGTGTCTGTGAACTTTATCCCCAGCCCAAGTGTCTGTGAACTTAATCTATCCCCAACCCATGTGTCTGTGAACTTTATCCCCAGCCCATGTGTCTGTGAACTTTATCCCCAGCCCATGTGTCTGTGAACTTTATCTCCAGCCCATGTGTCTGTGAACTTTATCTATCCCCAGCCCATGTGTCTGTGAACTTTATCCCCAGCCCATGTGTCTGTGAACTTAATCTATCCCCAGCCCATGTGTCTGTGAACTTTATCCCCAGCTCATGTGTCTGTGAACTTAATCTATCCCCAGCCCATGTGTCTGTGAACTTAATCTATCCCCAGCCCATGTGTCTGTGAACTTAATCTATCCCAGCCCATGTGTCTGTGAACTTAATCTATCCCCAGCCCATGTGTCTGTGAACTTAATCTATCCCCAGCCCATGTGTCTGTGAACTTAATCTATCCCCAGCCCATGTGTCTGTGAACTTTATCCCCAGCTCATGTGTCTGTGAACTTAATCTATCCCCAGCCCATGTGTCTGTGAACTTTATCCCCAGCCTATGTGTCTGTGAACTTTATCCCCAGCCCATGTGTCTGTGAACTTAATCTATCCCCAGCCCATGTGTCTGTGAACTTTATCCCCAGCTCATGTGTCTGTGAACTTTATCCCCAGCCCATGTGTCTGTGAACTTTATCCCCAGCCCATGTGTCTGTGAACTTAATCTATCCCCAGCCCATGTGTCTGTGAACTTAATCTATCCCCAGCCCATGTGTCTGTGAACTTTATCCCCAGCTCATGTGTCTTTGAACTTAATCTATCCCAGCCCATGTGTCTGTGAACTTTATCCCCAGCCTATCTGTCTGTGAACTTTATCCCAAGCCCATGTGTCTGTGAACTTAATCTATCCCCAGCCCATGTGTCTGTGAACTTTATCCCCAGCCCATGTGTCTGTGAACTTAATCTATCCCCAGCCCATGTGTCTGTGAACTTAATCTATCCCCAGCCCATGTGTCTGTGAACTTAATCTATCCCAGCCCATGTGTCTGTGAACTTAATCTATCCCCAGCCCATGTGTCTGTGAACTTAATCTATCCCCAGCCCATGTGTCTGTGAACTTAATCTATCCCCAGCCTATGTGTCTGTGAACTTTATCCCCAGCTCATGTGTCTGTGAACTTAATCTATCCCAGCCCATGTGTCTGTGAACTTAATCTATCCCAGCCCATGTGTCTGTGAACTTTATCCCCAGCCCATGTGTCTGTGAACTTTATCCCCAGCTCATGTGTCTGTGAACTTAATCTATCCCAGCCCATGTGTCTGTGAACTTAATCTATCCCCAGCCCATGTGTCTGTGAACTTAATCTATCCCAGCCCATGTGTCTGTGAACTTTATCCCCAGCCCATGTGTCTGTGAACTTTATCCCCAGCCCATGTGTCTGTGAACTTTATCCCCAGCCCATGTGTCTGTGAACTTTATCCCCAGCCCATGTGTCTGTGAACTTAATCTATCCCCAGCCCATGTGTCTGTGAACTTAATCTATCCCCAGCCCATGTGTCTGTGAACTTTATCTCCAGCCCATGTGTCTGTGAACTTTATCTATCCCCAGCCCATGTGTCTGTGAACTTTATCCCCAGCCCATGTGTCTGTGAACTTAATCTATCCCCAGCTCATGTGTCTGTGAACTTAATCTATCCCCAGCCCATGTGTCTGTGAACGTTATCCCCAGCCCATGTGTCTGTGAACTTTATCCCCAGCCCATGTGTCTGTGAACTTAATCTATCCCCAGCTCATGTGTCTGTGAACTTAATCTATCCCCAGCCCATGTGTCTGTGAACTTAATCTATCCCAGCCCATGTGACTGTGAACTTTATCTATCCCCAGCCCATGTGTCTGTGAACTTTATCCCCAGCCCATGTGTCTGTGAACTTTATGCCCAGCTCATGTGTCTGTGAACTTTATCCCCAGCCCATGTGTCTGTGAACTTTATCTATCCCCAGCCCATGTGTCTGTGAACTTTATCCCCAGCCCATGTGTCTGTGAACTTAATCTATCCCCAGCCCATGTGTCTGTGAACTTAATCTATCCCCAGCCCATGTGTCTGTGAACTTAATCTATCCCAGCCCATGTGTCTGTGAACTTAATCTATCCCCAGCCCATGTGTCTGTGAACTTAATCTATCCCCAGCCCATGTGTCTGTGAACTTAATCTATCCCCAGCCCATGTGTCTGTGAACTTTATCCCCAGCTCATGTGTCTGTGAACTTAATCTATCCCAGCCCATGTGTCTGTGAACTTAATCTATCCCAGCCCATGTGTCTGTGAACTTTATCCCCAGCCCATGTGTCTGTGAACTTTATCCCCAGCTCATGTGTCTGTGAACTTAATCTATCCCAGCCCATGTGTCTGTGAACTTAATCTATCCCCAGCCCATGTGTCTGTGAACTTAATCTATCCCAGCCCATGTGTCTGTGAACTTTATCCCCAGCCCATGTGTCTGTGAACTTAATCTATCCCAGCCCATGTGTCTGTGAACTTTATCCCCAGCCCATGTGTCTGTGAACTTAATCTATCTTCAGCCCATGTGTCTGTGAACTTTATCTCCAGCCCAAGTGTCTGTGAACTTAATCTATCCCCAACCAATGTGTCTGTGAACTTTATCCCCAGCCCATGTGTCTGTGAACTTTATCCCCAGCCCATGTGTCTGTGAACTTTATCTCCAGCCCATGTGTCTGTGATCTTTATCTATCCCCAGCCCATGTGTCTGTGAACTTTATCCCCAGCCCATGTGTCTGTGAACTTAATCTATCCCCAGCTCATGTGTCTGTGAACTTAATCTATCCCCAGCCCATGTGTCTGTGAACGTTATCCCCAGCCCATGTGTCTGTGAACTTTATCCCCAGCCCATGTGTCTGTGAACTTAATCTATCCCCAGCTCATGTGTCTGTGAACTTAATCTATCCCCAGCCCATGTGTCTGTGAACTTAATCTATCCCAGCCCATGTGACTGTGAACTTTATCTATCCCCAGCCCATGTGTCTGTGAACTTTATCCCCAGCCCATGTGTCTGTGAACTTTATCCCCAGCTCATGTGTCTGTGAACTTAATCTATCCCCAGCCCATGTGTCTGTGAACTTAATCTATCCCCAGCCCATGTGTCTGTGAACTTAATCTATCCCAGCCCATGTGTCTGTGAACTTAATCTATCCCCAGCCCATGTGTCTGTGAACTTAATCTATCCCCAGCCCATGTGTCTGTGAACTTATCTATCCCCAGCCCATGTGTCTGTGAACTTAATCTATCCCAGCCCATGTGTCTGTGAACTTTATCCCCAGCTCATGTGTCTGTGAACTTAATCTATCCCCAGCCCATGTGTCTGTGAACTTAATCTATCCCCAGCCCATGTGTCTGTGAACTTAATCTATCCCAGCCCATGTGTCTGTGAACTTAATCTATCCCCAGCCCATGTGTCTGTGAACTTAATCTATCCCCAGCCCATGTGTCTGTGAACTTTATCCCCAGCTCATGTGTCTGTGAACTTAATCTATCCCAGCCCATGTGTCTGTGAACTTTATCCCCAGCCTATGTGTCTGTGAACTTTATCCCCAGCCCATGTGTCTGTGAACTTAATCTATCCCCAGCCCATGTGTCTGTGAACTTTATCCCCAGCCCATGTGTCTGTGAACTTAATCTATCCCCAGCCCATGTGTCTGTGAACTTAATCTATCCCCAGCCCATGTGTCTGTGAACTTTATCCCCAGCTCATGTGTCTGTGAACTTAATCTATCCCCAGCCCATGTGTCTGTGAACTTAATCTATCCCCAGCCCATGTGTCTGTGAACTTAATCTATCCCAGCCCATGTGTCTGTGAACTTTATCCCCAGCTCATGTGTCTGTGAACTTAATCTATCCCCAGCCCATGTGTCTGTGAACTTAATCTATCCCCAGCCCATGTGTCTGTGAACTTAATCTATCCCAGCCCATGTGTCTGTGAACTTAATCTATCCCCAGCCCATGTGTCTGTGAACTTAATCTATCCCCAGCCCATGTGTCTGTGAACTTTATCCCCAGCCCATGTGTCTGTGAACTTAATCTATCCCCAGCCCATGTGTCTGTGAACTTAATCTATCCCCAGCCCATGTGTCTGTGAACTTTATCCCCAGCCCATGTGTCTGTGAACTTAATCTATCCCCAGCCCATGTGTCTGTGAACTTTATCCCCAGCCCATGTGTCTGTGAACTTAATCTATCCCCAGCCCATGTGTCTGTGAACTTAATCTATTCCCAGCCCATGTGTCTGTGAACTTAATCTATCCCAGCCCATGTGTCTGTGAACTTAATCTATCCCCAGCCCATGTGTCTGTGAACTTAATCTATCCCCAGCCCATGTGTCTGTGAACTTAATCTATCCCCAGCCCATGTGTCTGTGAACTTTATCCCCAGCCCATGTGTCTGTGAACTTAATCTATCCCAGCCCATGTGACTGTGAACTGACTCTATCAATCTATTCTCAGGCCGTGTGACTGTGAACTGACTCTATCAATCTATTCTCAGGCCGTGTGACTGTGAACTGACTCTATCAATCTATTCTCTGGCCGTGTGACTGTGAACTGACTCTATCAATCTATCCCCAGGCCGTGTGACTGTGAATTGACTCTATCAATCTATCCCCAGGCCGTGTGTTGGAATCAAAGCAGAGCCCCCAGAGAGCCAAGACTGGTACTGTGAGAAATGTTTACCTAAAACTAAACTCTCCTCCAGAGGAAGGGGAAGACCAAGGGGGCGTGGTAGAGGAAGGGGAAAGAAAAAACTGACTTGAGCTTCTTGCTCTTTACAATTCTCAGAACAGCCAATGGACATTTTTTTCATCTGAAAACTCTTGACATTTTTAAAGAAACGAAATCATTTTAAAAATCTTTGAAAAATGTGTTCTCAATTGTTATTGTCTCTGTACAGTCCCATCAGTAAGTTTGGTGTTTGCATCAAAATACCATTACATTTCATTTTGACTGAAAGAAAACATGATTTACCTTGTGCTTTGTCATTAACAATTGAGCCTAAGATATAGAGCACCAAATCACTTTTAATTGACAATTGAGCCTAAGATATAGAGCACCAAATCAATGTTAATCCTGACCCAACAAACCTTTGTTGGTGCTTATTGATATACATCCCTACAAGCACCTTACTTATTTATGTACAGTAAGGCTAAGTAAGTACTATTCAAACCTATAAACTAAAGCTATTATTAGACCATGAAGTAAACCTAACTAGTTTTGTGCTATTCAAGAAATTAGTTTTAAAAATTGCAGCAGATTTAATTTTAATTCTTTGGTTTTCTTTCACATTCCTAAAACTTCTTCCAGCAATTTTCAAATGTTTAAGGTGGTCAGCTTGCCACTTTTTTGTGAACCAAACTAGTCAGACTGCTGACACACCTGACCTGTCAGACTGCTGACACACCTGACCTGTCAGACTGCTGACACACCTGACCTGTCAGACTGCTGACACACCTGACCTGTCAGACTGCTGACACACCTGACCTGTCAGACTGCTGACACACCTGACCTGTCAGAGACTGCACCTGGTCTGATGCCCTGAAAATGGTGCCCTCTGACCTGGCTCTTCTGTCCTTACAAATCACACTGTCCAGTAGTGGCTGGCCTGGCTCTTCTGTTCTTACAAATCACACTGTCCAGTAGTGGGTGGTCTGGCTCTTCTGTCCTTACAAATCACACTGTCCAGTAGTGGCTGGCCTGGCTACATACAGTCCCATATGAAATTATTGCTAATTAGTACAAATGACAGATGGGCATACGTTTAAAAAAACGTTTAAAAAACATAGATACATTAATAAATTTGGTTTCTCTCAATTCATCATCTTTTCTGTTTGTGCCTAGACATGGGGCAGATGAAGTAGACTTGATCTGTTTCAACAACCTTGGCCTAAGTTTCCATGAGTCGGGTAACCATCCTTAATCCTAGTTGGGTGTATCCCACAGACTTGAACCCAGGATTCAACTCTATAGCTTAGCGTAATAAAGTCTACCTTCCAACTATGCCATCCCTAGTACAATTTAAATATCCTAGAACCCTATGTATGTATTTATATTTGTGCTTATATATATATATATATATATATATATATATATATATATATATATATATATATATATATATATACACACACACACACTAGGCTTACTGCTTTGCTTAGGGCCGCTTAGCAGTGTTTCTTCCAGACTTTTTTCTCCGGGGGGGACACTTGAAATCTTCGGGGGGGCAGTAAACTTTCTTCGGGGGGGCGGACACTGTTAAAAGTATATATTTTCTATATAAATTATATAAATTTCATTTCGTTCGGGGGGGGGGGCGGTAAAAAATTTTCGGGGGGGCTTTGCCCCCCCGAAGAGATGCCTGGAAGAAACTCTGCCGCTTAGGCAACCTTTTGAGATGGAAGAGCCAAAAGTTACAATTTACAAAATGTCCCAGTTTATAAAGAGCCATATTATTAGGGTATATGAATAAGATTAGGTAGATAAATTTGATTTGTTATTTAAAAGCATGAAATTGTTGCCACGTGGCTGTCCACAGCATGGCTGTGGAGATGGACCTGGCGCCCAAGCGGCTGTCAGCAGAGTTTCTTCCAGTCATCTCTTCGGGGGAGCGATGCCTCCCTGAAGAAAGTCTACCCTCCCCCCCCCCCCCCCCCCCCCCCCCCCCCCAAACCAGATGGAATTTATATAGAAATATATACTTTTGACGGTGTCGTCCCGTCCCCCTGAAAATTTTAGTCTGCCTCCCCAGAAAATTTCAAGTGCCCCCCCCCCCACCCCCCCCGGAGAAAAAAAGCCTGGAAGAAACACTGGCTGTCAGCTGTCCGTGTACTCTCTACTTCACTTATTCTAACTGTTCATTAATGAGTGTTTTTATCTTGTTTAAAGTAATTTTTCTTTACAGAATAATATTTGTTATGAGTTTTGAAAATGAAATAATATAACTTAATATTTGTGCAAGGAGCTGGAGAGACGCATCCTGGCATCAAAAGAGCCGCAGGCTGCCTACCCCTGGCTTAGGATTTCAAAAAACGAGAATCTGAATGATTATTGGCTGTTTTTTTTTCCTTTCGCCTCAGACATGTCATTTACAGCATCAGTTTGCCTTGCATGTTCGCTTTAGTATTACAGTTTTCATCATCGGCTTGTGAGGACTGATACAGATTTACAATAGTAATACTTCTTTCTTACTTGTAGCCTACTTTCATGCATTTATTTTATGATGGTTTTCTTATACATAGATGTAATACAAAATGTCTAATTACAATTTATTTTTATTTTTTTTAAACCTGAAAATGCAAATGTGTAAAATGTAATTAAATGATGATTCAAGGGATTTTTTTTCCCATCGGCGTGGTGGGCTGAGGGGGTTTGGGCTTTTAAGTAGAGCAGAGCTGAAATAAATTTGGGATTGCAGATAGGCCTAATTAAAAATGATACAAATTTTAAGCAATCGGAAGAGTTATGAGACATATCAAGTTTCATTCTTCGCTGTTATGTGCTTATTTTAAGTTCAAACAGTAATTTCTTGTTAGAGAAACGCTAGTAAACATTCTCAAACTCGCAAGATAAGAATTACAGAGGCTTATTCAATAGTATAATATTTAAAGATTATATTACATTAACTTTAAAAGTTACTTTCTTTAATTCTATTAAATGATACATATCTTAATTTGCAATTTATTTTCTTACTAAAAGAATGGTAAACTTCGTCATTTCCTGTTTTTCCCACGTTTTCTTTAACTTGCTTTCGCGTCTGTTTGTTTGTTTTTCCAATCAAATCTTGCAATCGAAATTTCGGGCACTTCCCAGTCAGCTAGCGCGCTGAAATTTTCAGGGAAGCTTTGTTTCCGATGACAATACAATATTCAATTATTATTATTACTAAATTGATCCATGGAAAATGTTATTGATCATTTTAGACCCCTATCGATTAGTATAAAAAAGGGACATAACCTAGTAATTGTAATTTGATAAAACAAGGTTCGGTACTTTCCCTCTTCTGGCTTACTGAAGGAGCAAGCACGCGATTGGCTGAGTAGTGGTCACGCGGTGTTTGTGTACAAACCTATGCAAATCTGACTGATCAGGAAGTAGAATGTTGATGGTCGAATGGTTTGCACGCGAGGGCAAAATGGTGAAAGCAACGGCAACACAGAAGAAACGTCGATTGGAAAAGGCACGTGTTTTTTACGACTTGTCTTCGTTAACCCAAAAAAAAGTGAATGCGAGAAGATAAAATCGATAGCAAGATTTGAATGCAAACAAACAAAGACTAAAAAGTAGAAAATAATTATCATTTTTTTTTTAAAAAAAACCACGTTTTCTGATTGAACTAAAAAGTAGAAAATAAATGCTATACATCACAATAATGCAAGCGATCACTCTAAGCGATCGCAAACTGCGTGCGCATTATGACAAAAAATGAAAAACGTGGGGCGCCGTGATTTTCTTACAGTTTACAATACTGTTTACTCTCTACAAGCTCCCTAATAAAACTCAATAGTATTATCTAATCAATAGTAATATAACTTTTACATCTTATATTAACAATGACCGATAAAAAAACTTTTACTTCGGGGGGAGGAATGTGTATGCGTTGGGGGTATATATATATATATATATATATATATATATATATATATATATATATATATATATATATTATGAATAACTTTTTTTCAATTTCGTTCGGAGGTGAAAGGGGAAGAAACGGTAGAGATGCCTGAAGAAAATTTATATATCTACGGAAAGTGAGTAATGAAATGAACTGTAATTCAGCTTTTAAAACAAGTAATTATCGGAAACTTAGGAAAAGAAACATTTTATTGATCAACAGCATAGGAATGAAAAATTGTTAAGATTATGAAAAAAGGGGTTTTGTTTTATGTACTGTCTATGTTTGTACTTGTTTAAAAAAAAACATAGACTACCAATACCTATTAGAAAAATTAAAACCAAAGTATATACAGTATTAGTATTATTAGTCAACACAATATCATATTAAATGCACTCGCTGATTAACTTTAATTAAGAGACATAAAAGATTTTGTTAAAAACCCCGACTGTTCAATGGTAGTTATCTTCTCTTCTTATTATTATTAGTGTTGAAGGGGATCGAGATTTATCTGCCAGTGGGTTTGAACTCAAGACTTTGTTCGAATTTATCAACCATGAGCTTTTTGCCGACTCGACCACGCTTCCAACACAATTAAGCGTTACGTGTCAACTGGTTATGCGCCATTGAGGCCATTGACTCCGATTTCAGCCTGCTTTTCTTTTTGGATTTGCTTCCATAGCATTTGTCCAACCAAGAACAAACTACAAGGCAGCAGTTGTTTAATTTTGGAGTTGTCTCTTCTAGAAGAGTGGCTGTCCCCAGCTAACGAGCCTCATCTGCCCGAGGGTTCGAACTCGAGACTTTTCGGTTTAGCAACCATGAGCTCGACCACGCCGAACCCTTCTAGTTATCTAATTTTTCTCTTTTAAAAACGCCTATTCCGGCTGAGCATGGGTCTGACCACACTATTCCTTCATATACTGAAAAGACAGAAACAGGTGGACTCTACTTCACCTGCGCCGTGTCCCGCAAAGTCCCGATAGGCAACGTTAACAATCACGTATATATATATATATATATATATATATATAAATATATATATATATATATATTTATATGTTTAAGATTGACTTGGTTTGTCTCGAACCCGTACCACCCGCATGGTATCAACTTATGCGAATAGAGGCCCTAAGTTAGTTTAAGTTACTTTAACTTTTTAGTTCATGAAGCTGCTGTTGACTGATTATGATGAAAAACAAGTATTTCATATTTTAGAATGTAAAGTACAACCAATGTGCTTAGTCTAATATATAAAGTTCAATTCTGTATGTTTGTTTGTAATCGAGGATTACATAGGAATATAAGAAAAAAAGATACTTTGATGGATTCAAGTGTTAGATTTTTAAAGTGCTCATGGTCTAAACTTATGAGTCAAATGTTATAAAACATACTTAAAATAATAATTTTTAATACGAATATTACATAATTTTTTTTTTAAAATGTATCAACGTTTATAAAATTCTAATTGTGTCTGAAAACTATTTGCATTTAGTCCTTTAGCGCTCATTACGTTCCTTGATTAGAAAAACACAGTTACTTCCCTTTAAAAAAAAAACCAACTTCGGGGAGAAAAGAATTTACTTTTTTTATTACTTTGTTTTGGTGTTGGGGAAAAAATAATTACATAATTAAACAAATTTTATTTATTCCATACACTAAACGTACTGTTTTCTTATTATTTTTAATCAAAGACAGGTGAAATAACAAAGAATTCCCGCAAGTTATTTTATTTGTGTCTTTTTTTTTTTTGCGCATTCGTTTTGTCTGTCCTTTTTTGCGCACGAAGGGGAATTCATTTTTAATAATAAAAGCGGCTGGTAGTGTGTCAGTCCTCCCTTCGATCATCGCTATAGCTTTTGGAACCTTAAAAGTAAACATCGCACCATGCAGTGCTATTCAACACATCGTATTGTCTTACTGTAAGTAATAGAGTAGGGTTTGTTTATATAACGACTTAAATTTATTTTATAGTTGCCACTGTTTTTATTCTTTCGCATAATGAAAAGAAAATATTAAATACACGTGTTTTTGGGTGCTGATTCTAATTACATTGCCAATGTGTTTCCTTAGAACCGTAAAAGTAAATACCACTTGCCGTACATTTATTTGCATCGCATTTTTTTATTGTTAGTTATGAAGTAGGATCTATTTATGTGATTTAAATTTGTAATGCTGGAAAGGCTCTCTTTGGGCGCGGACGATTGGTCGGTGGTGATTCTAATGTGGTTGTATTGTGTTTTTGATTGTTTTGTTCTGCTCCCAAGTTGGTACATTTTAAAAAGATTTACAGTGGCGTAGCACGGGTATGTAGCTATATAAAGTTCAATTTTGTATATGTATTTCATGGAGAAGAAAAACCGATACTTCAATTGTTTCAAGTGTTAAATGTCTAAAGTGCTCATCGTCTAAATTAATTAGTTAAAAAATTAATATTGAAAGTCTTTAAAAAGTTTTCATTTTACATACTTAGAATCATAATTTTCAATTTAATTTTTTTTTTTAAGCGTATTAACGTTTATAAAATTTCTAATTGTCTGAAATTAATGTATTTGCATTTAGTCCTATAGCGCACATTACGTCCCTTGATTAGGAAAACACAGTTACTTCCCTTAAAAAAACCGAATCGGGGAGAGAATTTATTTTTTATTACTTTGTTTTTGTGTTAGGAAAAAAATAATTACATAGTTAGCGGGGATTGGTTCAGTGCAATGTTGTTTGTATTTTTAATACTGCCTTTTTATTTAATCCACACACTGAACGTAGTTTTCTTCTTATTCTTTTTAATCAAAGACGGGTGAAGTAACAAAAGACATCTCTTTTCGGGAACGGGAATTCCCGCAGGTTATTATTTGTTTTTGTCGGTCGCGCCAGAAAGCTTTTATAGACACCTGCACCAGTGGCGTAGCGAGGTCGGGTGTCACCCCCCCCCCCCCCCCCCCCCCCCCGAGGCATAGAGACCCTTCCCAGGGACAAACTTTCAATTTGCACCCCCCCCTCGAGTTTTTCTCTATATATTTTGCTATTTTTTGCCTTGGTGTCACCCGGTGCGCTACGCCCCTGACCTGCACCAAACTACAAGAAGATAATACTATACCATTTGATATAATACTAGCCGTCCCGGATTGTGTTCGTGATGTTTTTGCTTTCGTATTTGTAATTGTGTTTTGTTTTTTGGTTGGTTGTGGTTAGGGTGGGCAATGCCGGGTATATGATTACTAAACACACAGGTAAAGTTCCTTAAAAGATATGTTTTATCACAGAGGCCAGAGAAGGGCCTGGCCGGCTAGTATTTTATAAAAATCAAATTTAGTGTTATTATGGAGTTTTATAGAAGTTTGTAAAATTATTCATCTTGAGATATTTAGTCTTTTGAAAAATGACAAAGCTTTTCTGTCCATGCTTATTTTAGTTTCTTTATATTACTTTCCTATACTATATATGATTTTTTTTTAAATGAATGATGAGGTTTAGCATGCACAATTTTACCTCACATCTACTAAGCACCCAACACACCATTTTAAGTTTGCTAAAATTGCTTTTGATTTAGCCCTGACCAACCAGATTTAAAAAAAATGAAAGTAGATGAGATGGACGTGCGGATTAGGGCGGGGCTCCAGGCTTAAAATGTTTGGGGGCCCCTGATATATATATATATACTATTTTTAAAAAAAATTATGGATTGTTTTAACTTATAGGAACATTTGACACCGATATTTACAAAACTGCAAATTTAAAAAGCAGTCAATTATGTTCGGAGTTTCTTTCAGGCATCTCTTCGGGGGGGGGGGGGGGGGAATGGAGAAAAAGTCTGGAAGAAACACTGAGGACGACGTCCCGCGGCTGGTGGTGAGGGAAGTAAAGCCTGAATAGAGCCTACGGATGAATAAGCGACCAACACCTTCGTGAGACTGATTCAGTCCACTATTTGCCAGTTTGTTGGAATTGACCTCCCTGGCTAATGGGAGTCAAACTCAGCCGGTATATCCGCGTCACAATAGTTAGTGAACAGTCATTCACGAATTTAGGCGTGAGAAATCTGGAAATGCAGACTAACATTGAACAAATATCCATGAGAATATTTTGTCGTTATAGAACAGACGATAAAGACTTCTGGTACTTGTTTGCATGCAGACGCGAAAAGAAAAAAAGAGAATTTCAAACCACTCTATGTAGGAAATTATTAACATACAGAGGTTAAACTAGGCCCAAATGAAACTAGTAAGCACAGCATAAGCGTCAAAAAACCATACCTCCAACCTCTTAGGTGTCATCCATTTTAAGGCATACAAGTATTTACAAGAAAGTTGAATTTCCACTCGCCCTTTAATTAAAGAACGCCATCCCTGGCCTGTTTCTGTCTAGGCCTAAATGTCGGTTACCTTATTATAGGGCCTAAATAGGTTTGCCGCGACATAACACGGGTACTTCCGTATTTGCTTTTAGGCCTACATTGTTTATGCAGTTTTGTTTTTGGTATAAACAATACAGAGTATAATTCAATGATTGTGATATCTACATAGCACTCCCCACCTATACGCCGTCCGCACTTTTCCACAATTGTCTAAAGTTTTAGATACCTAAGTTGATGATTTCTTATATTCTTACGATAAATCTGTCTTGACGCCAACGAAATTACAAGCTAATTAATTTGGCCTAACTACTGTTTGTGGCATATTTTGATTTTTTTTTAAATTAAAAGTTTCGAGTTTACAATAGGGCGTAGAACGCAAACCTCCTGACCCAAAAGTCCTGAGCTCTAAACCCAGGTTCATATCAAAGAACACCAAACACAGATGGGTACCTAGTCTAGATCAATTTCAAAACTACTCAAGGAAGCTAGGCATAAAACTAGAACTGATCAGAATGTCTCATTTTCTGAGATCAACTAAATATGTGAACTCTACCTAATATTCCCTATGCTCACTAGGTCCTGATGGTCAACTGAAATATTAATCTAAGGAGTTTTAATCCAAATAACTAGATCTGGATATCCTGTAACTAAAAAAAATTTATATCCAAAACATTTCTAATGACAAAAATGTAAAGCATCTTTCATACATTTTTAGTAGTGTAGTGGGTAAGCAAAAACGGCCAGGCAGTTTTTCATTGATTGCTAAGGCTGGTCAATAATGCTGCTTGTCTGGATGCTTGCTAGTGAGACCTAATTCAGCATGTAGACCCTATGCCTAACATTTGTATTATTTTAATGTTTGTTACCACCTCGCTACACAATCTGACTAAATAACTTTCAAGTGCTGTGCATTTTTCAAAAAGCGTCAATCATAAGACTCATGTGTCAGTACTGGACCGCTATTTAAACTAAATGGTGTTCTCGAATATTAAATCATTGGCTTTTATAGTAAAAAAAATAAAATAAAACAATTTAGCTTTAAAGGGAAATCTACTATCATTTAAAAAGGAAATTCGGGGGCCCCTGGCTGCAGCCCTCTCAGCACCCCCCCCCCTTAATCCGCCACCGCTTAGGGGTTAGACATGTCCAGTGGTACCTAAGCTATTACCTCCAGACCATCTTGTCAAAGCCACAATCAAGGGTATTGAATCTTTTATTGGATATCCCCATGAGACCAATAAAAGATGAAGCTTGTGTTTACTGTACCATCAATAAAAATACTTTTTTAACTTCTCAATTTTAGCCTATAATAAGTAAATGTTGCATTAAAACTATTCAACAAGTATCCTGCATGAAGCAAGGAAAAATCATGCTTTTAAATGTGACCGCAATTTGCAGTATGATTGCTATTGTATATTCTGACAGTAATGATTGTTTTTCTATACATTGACAGAGGCTCGCTAATCTAAACGTTATTGCTGTTCTATACCATTTGATGATGAAATAGTTCTGAAATAAAAACTTGTCTTGGGTACAAGCATTTATGTCATTCCTAGAAACATATCTAAAAACAAGAACACACACTGTGTGTATACAATGGACGTAAATAACACTAAATAGCTCCTTAGAAATTGATGACTGGATAATTGCACTTTAGAAGTGGACCACTGAATAATTGCACCTTAAAATATCAAGCACTTTACAAGTGAGTTGGGAGGGGGGGGGGGGGGGGAAAGAATCACATTTTCTAACTATTTACAACTTTCTCAGGTTTTTAAAAAAATATTTTGATGACATTTCCTTAAAATAATTGGACACAGCTATGTTACCTTAGCACATTGCCAACCTCCTTGTTGAACGGAAGAAGCTGGTGACTAATGAAAATGTGTCAAAAATGTACACAAAATTGATTAAAATATGTAAACTTATGTAAACTGCACATGGCTATACATTAATAGTCCTTCAAAATAATTTGCTTTTCCTTTTTAATTTTTTAACCAGCCCAAAAACTAGAAAAAAATTTAAAGTCTGAAATTCACTTACCTAATTCTAAACCTTTTTTCCATTTCTAGACTATGTATCCCAGACATGCATTAGAATAAATATTACATCTTCTACTAAACACATATGTGATAGACATTCTCAACATACTTTAATAACATTTTTAAAATATATTGTAAAATCAAGTTTAAAATTTGTATAATTCTAAATATGCAAAACAAAACATGACTAATAGTCATTACAAGGTTCAAGTCAAAAATTTATAACAAGCTCTTGGTTTTTCTTCTCATCCATTTGCAGTATTGAAGACTAATCATGTGTTGATGTTGATAGTTTTAAGTACTTGTCTCTCTGAAGGATTGTGATGTTGGCTGAACATGGAATAGCAAGGCTGACTGGATAAAGACTGCAAGAATTCCGTCAAGTAGGCCTGGAGAGAAAGAATTAACTCATTATTGTAATATTATATTCTAGAAAGAAATAGCCGTGAGAAAATTTTTTTTTTGTAAAAGTTGGGCATAAGAAAAAAATTTCCACCACGAATTTTTAAAACTGTAGGGAAAATTGACATCTCTGATATAAAGCAAATGCTGGTTTACTTTTTGAATATGCCTGATTGGCACCAACTCAGCTTTTACAGTAGTCTTCTTTTTCTCTGTAGCTAATAGATACATTACTCTCTTAGGATAGCCATATTTTGACCACGGAGGCTGAAGTTAGCAACACAGATTGCTAGAGGATGAATCATAGAACCAATCAAATGTGAGCTTTCAATATTTTTACCTGAGTATTGATCTGATAATTAGGATCATTTTTAGCATCAGGATCGTCATCCTCTTCAGTTACTGATGCAAATCCTGCAGAAAGTGAAACAAAAATACTTCTTTGATTATAGAATCTATAATTTGGCCTTTTTAATAAATAACACAGAGATGTAACTTTTCTGAGAAAGTTTAAGCCAAAATAACTTATAAGTTATAAGTAAAAAAAAAAGAAGATATTTTTCTGCCAACCGACTGAAAAAAAAAATCTTTTCAGACGATCTATTTTATCATTTTTCTACCCATACTCAAATGGCATTATTTTCCACTTCTGCTTTATGACTGTTCCGTTGGTTTACAGAAGAATGCCATTCACTCAGTAACTAAACTACGTCATTCGGGTATGTGAAATGGATTGTCTACAGCGTGTAAACTTACTGTGAATGTGCTACAGCTATATACAAAAGAATATTATTTATTGAAAGAGTGATCACCAATGAACACTGTGTAGCTCTCGAATTTAACCATTATTTTACATAATTTCATGAAGCTAGATAGAAGTTATATGCAGTCCTGAATGACAAAAATTTTGGAGAGGTGGGTGGGGCTATAGACTGAACTACTTGTGTGGCTGTCTAGCTATGGCGATACGGTTAGGGTAAAATTCGGCTCATAAATGTGATGTCATTTATGTACGACCACTTGGCTGCATCTTATATAAAACTTTACCTAGTGGTTATTTATTGGATTATCTCCAGCCGAGATGAAACTTTTCCATTTTAACGGAACTTTGCATTTCCCTTTTAAAAAATGGCAGAAAATTTTTGCGTTGACTTAGACTATTTGTTTCTCGTTCCATTTTGATAAACAAAAAGAAAAGGCAAATTGATATAAAAGACTAAAAAGTATGAAACAGAAATGTGCCTAGAAAAGCGCTGTTCTCATTATACCACTTTTACCTCACCCCAATGGCGGAACTAGAAAAAAAGGGCCACCCCGCAAAAAAAAAAAAAAGAAATGTTGACCCCCATATATATATATATATACACACACACACACACAACACAAACATAGAATACTCAATACGGGCTTGTTCAAAATAGTAAAAATTCTTAGTTTTTATTTTTAATTAAAACCAATTATAACATTAGAACGAGTGCTATTAGTATGTTTTGAAATTATCTGTTTTAATGTCTGACATAATGCTTCCTTACTTACAAGTAGGTAAAAAGAATATGAAGCATGAAAGCTTTGTATGTGTAATGGTTTCTCGTCTTATGTTTATTTTTATATTTTTATGTATTTATATTATTAGTTTTTCATACATTTCCCTTTTATACTTTGCCATTCTTTATTATGTATTTTTTAAAAATATAATAATTAAGAGAAGTAATTGCTTTTTAATTTGTTTAGTGCAAATCTATTAAAAGTTTCTTAAGAGCACACGTATTTGACTTTTTAAAAAAAGGGAAATAAGTCATGGAAGTGGTTTCAACGTTTGCCTATCTTTCACACTACAACTCATGTATATATTTTTTTTCCTTAACGAAACAACATGTGTTAGCTACTGTAAAACATCACTACTGTTGTAGATCTGTTCGTTTTTTTAATAGAAAAAAATAATTTTTTTAACTATAAAAAAAATTGATTATTGTCGGCTATAGGCCCCCTAAATGGCCTGGGGCCCCCAGCATTGCGGTGTCTGGCGGCACTGTAGTTCCACCCCTGCCTCACCCACTTTTCATGGTTGCGGTGACCGTGAGGCCTACCACGCGAGATGCGTGAGCATGTTCTACAAATGCTTTTAGTTAAATATCTACTTTTCCACCTTTATTTTAACCAGCCTAAAAATTAGCTTCTCTCTAGACTTTAAAGTAAAAAATTTACTTTTCTAAATTCCAGACTACATACGAACCCTGGAGTAGACCTACTAGATCTAGATCCAATACAGCAACTGAAAATCTGGCAAAGTACCATTTTCAAGGTTAACTAACGAAATTCCAGGTTTTACCCTTCCATGGAATTCAATGCTTTTTAAATATCTAGATTAGTTTTTCTGTATTCAGAGCCTTTTTTCAAGGCCCACTGCAGACTATGAGTAACAGTAAATATAGGATCTCCTGTTTAAATTGTATTTGCAACAAGCTTGCCGCATCTAGGTGGATTAAAATGTTAAAAAATAATTTTCCATGCATTAGCAAACATATTCCAATACTTTACCTTCATAATTCAAATTGTTCAGCAGGTCTGAAAGAGACTCCCCTGCCACAGCAAAATCTTCATCTTCAATTTCTTCTCCATCATCATCATCATCATCTTCCTTTTATTACAAAACAATCATCATCATCATCTTCCTTTTATTACAAAACAATAATCAAAGGGATCATATGTAATAAAGTCTAATTTTCATCTTGCCCAAAAGTTCTAATTGTGAAGAAAAGTTTTATCTTGCCCAAAGTTCAAATTGTAAAGAGAAGTTTTATCTTGCCTTAAGTTCAAATTGTAAAGAGAAGTTTTATCTTGCCCAAAGTTCAAATTGTAAAGAGAAGTTTTATCTTGCCCTAAGTTTTAACTGTTGCCCTAAGTTTTAACTGTAAAGAAAAGTTTTATCTTTCCCTAAGTTTTATCTTGCCCTAAGTTTTAACTGTTGCCCTAAGTTTTAACTGTAAAGAAAAGTTTTATCTTGCCCTAAGTTTTATCTTGCCCTAAGTTTTAACTGTTGCCCTAAGTTTTAACTGTTGCCCTAAGTTTTAACTGTAAAGAAAAGTTTTATCTAGCCCAAAGTTCAAATTGTAAAGAAATATTTCATCTTGCCCTAAGTTCTAATTGTGAAGAAAAGTTTTATCTTGCCCAATGTTCTAATTGTAAAGGCTAAAAATTTCCCTACTTCCTCTTCATCATCTTGGGTCAGGTTTTCCTCAATTGCGTTGGATAGTTCATGAATCAAAAGTTTATAAATCTTCACCAGTACTGGAATTGTGGTCCACTCATCTGGAGCTGTGTAGATGGTTTGACATTTCTGGTTTAGCATTTGGATGTTTAAACATTTTCTTTGTTTATCAATAAAAGTTGAAGTGAATTTTACTAATATGAAATACTCAAACTATAGAGCAATAATGCAATGAAGTACTCACAAAAAGTTACACAACACTTGGACATTCTCAAAGTTTAAGTACTAGAACAAGTATATTTCAATCCAATACACAAATAGTCGAGTGTTAGATGGAAAGCTTTAAGCCTATCCCTATTGACCCAACGATGCTACATTTTAGTTGATTACCGGTCAACCACTGGACCGATTGCTTTAAGCTTCTAGATATCTTACCTATACCTATAGCAGGTTTAAGTTCACTACACCTGTCCCTACTAACATGGGTCAAATTGACCCGAATACATTATATATAGCAAAAAACTCTACTAGTGATGGGGAAAGTGGTATAAATCTAGACTTATTTCAAACAACTTCCCTTGGGGCTAGACCTTTTGGGCTCATAAGTTTGTATCCCTTCCTGCCTTACCGAAGATACCAATAAGAAACTTTTTTTCAGCTCTGAAGTGGATTGCTAGATGTGGGCCTACACATTGAGAAGCTGGACAGATGTACTAAGACGTACCAACTGATGACTGCATGGGTTCATTGGCTACAGTATCAATTTGAAAGCGATGAATCAGACCTCAACTTATTTTTTTTGGAGCTGAATTTGGAAATTAATGCCATACTGTCAATAAAGTATTTAGGAAGTTATGTAATAGGCTATGATATAATAAAGATATAGCAAGAGGCCAATACTGTTTGTAGCTACACAGTCTTTTGTGATAAAAGCAATCTGATGAGGTCTATTATGGTATGTGGATGAAAGATTACATCATCTCAGTCAGTCCAACCATAGTTGGGTAAAATAGGACCAACTCCTTGACTACAGCTTTTAAGTATATGGGACCATATTTTGATAAATCAATGGATATTGATATAGAGATAACTGATGTATCAATCTCTGATAACTTTGTACTTTACATTGAACTAAGTTTTTGGCTACTAATCTGTGTCAAGCATGCATATTGATGCCAAAATGATGACATCAAAATGGAAAGACTGCATGAAATCATCCATTTATGGCTCTAGCAATATGCCCCAATGGGCAAACTAAGTGGTAACTAATGACCATATTTTTCAATTTGCAACAAATGTCCCCAATAAGTTGAAATTCAAAGTGACAGCTATTACAAATAGACAGCAGCAGATTTACAAAATGTGTATAAAGTCAAGAGTTGGTTCTGCCCCATTAGATCAAATAGAAAAAAACTGCAATTCACATTAGATCAAATAGAAAAAATACTGCAAAAAAAATACTGCAATTCTCATTAGATCAAATAAAAAAAATACTGCAATTCACATTAGATCAAATAGAAAAAAAAAGCCTTCTGAAACCAGCCACTGGGTGTTCAGCTCAATAGTGTCATCCAAACAAAAATTATGCGAGATACGATAACATGTTAGATGGGAAAATATCAACTATTTGTCAAATATATAGATTCTATCTCTAGTTTATATAGCTTTAATCAATGTGCAAACTGATATTGTGATTGAGTTTTCTTGCATATGAAAAATAAATTGGTAGTAAAGGTATAAGTTTTTATATTTAGTAACATCTAGTTTTATTTATGCCTAAAAAGTATAATAATAAATAACCTAAAACTAAAATTTAGAGTAGAAATGTATATAAACTATAATTTTAGTGTCCATTTATCATTAAAATAATAGTTATGCTATAAAAATATACATATGCAAATATAATTTCTTATATAAAAAGTGTGTGGGTTAAATTGACCCACCTTGTAGTCGAATACAGTGAAATAAGAATGTAGGTTAAACAAGATTCCCCCAATTTTTTACTAGAAAATTCACTACTATTTCCAGATAATTTTTTATGTGCATAACCATTAAACAAACTTGCCAAATTAAATTTAATTAAACCACATAAAAGCAGACATTTTTAAAAGGGTGTTACTTATTTTTTCATATCCTAAATTCAATCCCAAACTGAAACTTTAAAATGATTAAACTTAATATTGCATCAGAAATTAGTTTAAATAAAATTGAAAATACTTACTTTTCAGAACATTTGATTTATATTGTGTTATATTAACGTATTACTACATTTCTAGAACCTTCCCCAACAACTGTTTATGTTAGTACAATTAATATTAAGTGATTAAATTGATAGTAGTCAGACTTTGAAGCCTACTAAAAATGTTGTAGAAATGTACACTGATGTATTCCTGCTGTTTGTAACATATCTATACTTTATTTTCCCCCTTCCCTTAAATACAACAAACAAGCTGTATCAAACACATAAGCCTACTTGAGGTAATATTGAGTTCAAGAAGACCTATTTACTCCAGTTTTTACAATTATGTCCCCTCCCCCATGAGATAATCTTAGCTGGCCAATTTCGCATTTCAGATTGTCGGTGATGTCATTAGCCTTTAACTTTCTCCATGAACGCAAGAAACTCACAATTTCCTGAGTTTTTTAAAAATCTGTTTCTCGCAAATTCAGTATCACTATGAAATAGTCTGCTAAAATGGTAATCCTTAAAAAGGGGGAGAAGGGGTCGGAGTGGTCGAGTCAGTAAAAAAAAGTCTCGGGCAGATGAGGCTAGTTAGCTAGGGACAGCCACTCTTCTAGGAGAGACATCTCCAAAATCAAACAACTGCTGCCTTATAGTTTGTTCTTGGTTGGACAAAGGCTATGGAAGCAAATCCAAAAAGAAATGGCGCATAACCAGTTGACACTTATACTTTATTCTGATGGAGGCATGGTCAGTCAGTAAAAACTCATGGTTGTTGAACTCGAAACAGTCTCGAGTTCAAACCCTCTGGCAGATAAGGCTCAATCCCTTCCAACACTAAAAATTAGGAACAAAGAAGAAGAAATGGGGGAGAGATAAAACAAGACTATTCACGCGCAATCCTAGTCATTTATTGAAATTTATTTAGGTCCACACCTAGACTATACAGTGAGTTCACAGAAAGTTCTACTAAGCTTAAAATAAATCAAGTGCACCCGTGATCAAGATGTCATGTTTGAGGAGATGAAATGTGAGATACATTCATAAATACTTAGTACAGGAAAATTGTAGCCTGCTAAAAATAACTGTCTATTGGGCAAAAACTACTGGGGTATGAAAAAAATTCCCAGCTATTATGAAAATTTCCCAACCAGGAAACTTTATCTTAAAATTCTCATTTTTCCCCCCCGCTCTGTGAGAACCCTGTATAAAATACAAGCTTGTCTTATTGCAAAAATAAAAAAATTCACATAGATTGTTTGCCTACTATCCAATTAATAAAGTACCCAATTCAGACGACCTACTTACTGTTTTTTGATTTGGCTCTTGTTTGTATGCCATGTCCTGATTGTAAAATGGGTTCACCTTGTACGACAATATCTTGAAGACGAAGATCATTGTTAGTAATGGCATGTTGAAGTAGGTGACACAAAGCCAGTGTGCTGGAAATGGGAAGATCATTGTTAGTAATGGCATGTTGAAGTAGGTGACACAAAGCCAGTGTGCTGGAAATGGGAAGATCATTGTTAGTAATGGCATGTTGAAGTAGGTGACACAAAGCCAGTGTGCTGGAAATGGGAAGATCATTGTTAGTAATGGCATGTTGAAGTAGGTGACACAAAGCCAGTGTGCTGGAAATGGGAAGATCATTGTTAGTAATGGCATGTTGAAGTAGGTGACACAAAGCCAGTGTGCTGGAAATGGGAAGATCATTGTTAGTAATGGCATGTTGAAGTAGGTGACACAAAGCCAGTGTGCTGGAAATGGGAAGATCATTGTTAGTAATGGCATGTTGAAGTAGGTGACACAAAGCCAGTGTGCTGGAAATGGGAAGATCATTGTTAGTAATGGCATGTTGAAGTAGGTGACACAAAGCCAGTGTGCTGGAAATGGGAAGATCATTGTTAGTAATGGCATGTTGAAGTAGGTGACACAAAGCCAGTGTGCTGGAAATGGGAAGATCATTGTTAGTAATGGCATGTTGAAGTAGGTGACACAAAGCCAGTGTGCTGGAAATGGGAAGATCATTGTTAGTAATGGCATGTTGAAGTAGGTGACACAAAGCCAGTGTGCTGGAAATGGGAAGATCATTGTTAGTAATGGCATGTTGAAGTAGGTGACACAAAGCCAGTGTGCTGGAAATGGGAAGATCATTGTTAGTAATGGCATGTTGAAGTAGGTGACACAAAGCCAGTGTGCTGGAAATGGGAAGATCATTGTTAGTAATGGCATGTTGAAGTAGGTGACACAAAGCCAGTGTGCTGGAAATGGGAAGATCATTGTTAGTAATGGCATGTTGAAGTAGGTGACACAAAGCCAGTGTGCTGGAAATGGGAAGATCATTGTTAGTAATGGCATGTTGAAGTAGGTGACACAAAGCCAGTGTGCTGGAAATGGGAAGATCATTGTTAGTAATGGCATGTTGAAGTAGGTGACACAAAGCCAGTGTGCTGGAAATGGGAAGATCATTGTTAGTAATGGCATGTTGAAGTAGGTGACACAAAGCCAGTGTGCTGGAAATGGGAAGATCATTGTTAGTAATGGCATGTTGAAGTAGGTGACACAAAGCCAGTGTGCTGGAAATGGGAAGATCATTGTTAGTAATGGCATGTTCAAGTAGGTGACACAAAGCCAGTGTGCTGGAATGGAAATTGATCCACTAATACCATTTCAAATAAAGCAATATTATGGAACAGACATTATCTAGGCTGGGTTTTTACCTGATTTTTCTTTCATAACTTCCATAAAAGAGATGCTGTCTGCCACACCATTCATTTAAAATAAACTCTAAAGCTGTTTTGCCAGTTGGTCCTGGTACACTAGTCAAGAAGTCCAGCACCGCTTCCATTTGAGTCAGCATGAGATTAGCAAACACCATTAGCAAGCCCTGAATTGAGTGGTAAAACATACATAATCAGCAAACACCATTAGCAAGCCCTGAATTTAGTGGTAAAACATACATAATCAGGTAACACCATTAGCAAGCCCTGAATTGAGTGGTAAAACATACATCTTCAATTACTTTTATTGGATGCTCAATTATTTGCAGTAAGAAAGTGAATGTGAAAAGATTTGACCTGCAAAACACTTAAAGTTTCAGCTTGTTGAATTTTACTTAAGACGGCTCTAAGCATCAAATCTAGATTCTCTCCAAGTTGGGTTCCACATTTTCCTATCACAGTGGACACCAGTCTACCCACAAAAGTTGCAGTGTGCTCAGAAGTCTTGGGGTCAAGCAATTTAAATATCACCTGCACAGTGTAGTGCATACCATTATTGTCTGGAAAAAGACAAATATAACCCACAATCAAGTTTATATATTTAAATATATGTATGTGTCTATATAGATATATTTATATTACACATGTGTATAAATATAATAACTGCATACTAGTGCTCCTCTACTGTAACTAAATTGACACAAAGCTCTCATGGATATCAGTCCAGATTTTTTTCAAACCCCCTTCCACCCTCCCAGTGTGTAATGTAAACTGCTGACTGTTTCCCTGGACCTCTGCACCCAGAGAGAGAGCTTCACCCAGAGAGTCAGCTGCACCCAGAGAGAGAGCTTCACCCAGAGAGCCAGCTGCACCAGAGAGCCAGCTGCACCCAGAGAGAGCTGCACCAAGAGAGAGCTTCACCCAGAGAGCCAGCTTCACCCAGAGAGAGCTTCACCCAGAGAGAGAGCTTCACCCAGAGAGAGAGCTTCACCCAGAGAGCCAGCTGCACCCAGAGAGCCAGCTGCACCCAGAGAGCCAGCTGCACCCAGAGAGCCAGCTTCACCCAGAGAGAGCTGCACCAGAGAGAGCTGCACCAGAGAGCTGCACCCAGAGAGCCAGCTGCACCCAGAGAGCCAGCTGCACCCAGAGAGCCAGCTGCACCAGAGAGAGCTGCACCCAGAGAGCCAGCTGCACCAGAGAGAGCTGCACCCAGAGAGCCAGCTTCACCCAGAGAGCCAGCTGCACCCAGAGAGCCAGCTGCACCAGAGAGAGCTTCACCCAGAGAGCCAGCTGCACCAGAGAGAGCTGCACCCAGAGAGCCAGCTGCACCCAGAGAGCCAGCTGCACCAGAGAGAGCTGCACCCAGAGAGCCAGCTGCACCAGAGAGAGCTGCACCCAGAGAGCCAGCTGCACCCAGAGAGCCAGCTGCACCAGAGAGAGCTTCACCCAGAGAGCCAGCTGCACCCAGAGAGCCAGCTGCACCCAGAGAGCCAGCTGCACCCAGAGAGAGCTGCACCAGAGAGAGCTGCACCAGAGAGAGCTGCACCAGAGAGAGCTGCACCCAGAGAGCCAGCTGCACCCAGAGAGCCAGCTGCACCCAGAGAGCCAGCTGCACCAGAGAGAGCTGCACCCAGAGAGCCAGCTGCACCAGAGAGAGCTGCACCCAGAGAGCCAGCTTCACCCAGAGAGCCAGCTGCACCCAGAGAGCCAGCTGCACCCAGAGAGCCAGCTGCACCAGAGAGAGCTGCACCCAGAGAGCCAGCTGCACCAGAGAGAGCTGCACCCAGAGAGCCAGCTGCACCCAGAGAGCCAGCTGCACCCAGAGAGCCAGCTGCACCAGAGAGAGCTTCACCCAGAGAGCCAGCTGCACCCAGAGAGCCAGCTGCACCCAGAGAGCCAGCTGCACCCAGAGAGCCAGCTGCACCCAGAGAGAGCTGCACCAGAGAGAGCTGCACCCAGAGAGCCAGCTGCACCAGAGAGAGCTGCACCCAGAGAGCCAGCTTCACCCAGAGAGCCAGCTTCACCCAGAGAGCCAGCTGCACCCAGAGAGCCAGCTGCACCAGAGAGAGCTTCACCCAGAGAGCCAGCTGCACCAGAGAGAGCTGCACCCAGAGAGCCAGCTGCACCCAGAGAGAGAGCTTTACCCAGAGAGCCAGCTGCACCAGAGAGCCAGCTGCACCCAGAGAGAGCTGCACCAAGAGAGAGCTTCACCCAGAGAGCCAGCTTCACCCAGAGAGAGCTTCGCCCAGAGAGAGAGCTTCACCCAGAGAGAGAGCTTCACCCAGAGAGCCAGCTGCACCCAGAGAGCCAGCTTCACCCAGAGAGCCAGCTGCACCCAGAGAGCCAGCTTCACCCAGAGAGAGCTGCACCAGAGAGAGCTGCACCAGAGAGAGCTGCACCAGAGAGAGCTGCACCCAGAGAGCCAGCTGCACCCAGAGAGCCAGCTGCACCCAGAGAGCCAGCTGCACCAGAGAGAGCTGCACCCAGAGAGCCAGCTGCACCAGAGAGAGCTGCACCCAGAGAGCCAGCTTCACCCAGAGAGCCAGCTGCACCCAGAGAGCCAGCTGCACCAGAGAGAGCTGCACCCAGAGAGCCAGCTGCACCAGAGAGAGCTGCACCCAGAGAGCCAGCTGCACCCAGAGAGCCAGCTACACCAGAGAGAGCTGCACCCAGAGAGCCAGCTGCACCCAGAGAGCCAGCTGCACCCAGAGAGCCAGCTTCCCCCAGAGAGCCAGCTGCACCCAGAGAGCCAGCTGCACCAGAGAGAGCTGCACCCAGAGAGCCAGCTGCACCCAGAGAGCCAGCTGCACCAGAGAGAGCTGCACCCAGAGAGCCAGCTGCACCAGAGAGAGCTGCACCCAGAGAGCCAGCTGCACCAGAGAGAGCTGCACCCAGAGAGCCAGCTGCACCAGAGAGAGCTGCACCAGAGAGAGCTGCACCCAGAGAGCCAGCTGCACCCAGAGAGCCAGCTGCACCCAGAGAGCCAGCTGCACCAGAGAGAGCTTCACCCAGAGAGCCAGCTGCACCAGAGAGAGCTTCACCCAGAGAGCCAGCTGCACCAGAGAGAGCTTCACCCAGAGAGCCAGCTGCACCCAGAGAGAGCTGCACCCAGAGAGAGCTGCACCCAGAGAGAGAGCTGCACCCAGAGAGCCAGCTGCACCAGAGAGAGCTTCACCCAGAGAGCCAGCTGCACCCAGAGAGCCAGCTGCACCCAGAGAGCCAGCTGCACCCAGAGAGAGCTGCACCCAGAGAGAGCTGCACCCAGAGAGAGCTGCACCCAGAGAGCCAGCTGCACCCAGAGAGCCAGCTGCACCCAGAGAGCCAGCTGCACCCAGAGAGCCAGCTGCACCCAGAGAGCCAGCTGCACCCAGAGAGCCAGCTTCCCCCAGAGAGCCAGCTGCACCAGATCGAGCTGCACCCAGAGAGCCAGCTGCACCAGAGAGAGCTGCACCCAGAGAGCCAGCTGCACCAGAGAGAGCTGCACCCAGAGAGCCAGCTGCACCAGAGAGAGCTGCACCCAGAGAGCCAGCTGCACCAGAGAGAGCTGCACCCAGAAAGCCAGCTGCACCAGAGAGAGCTGCACCCAGAGAGCCAGCTGCACCAGAGAGAGCTGCACCAGAGAGAGCTGCACCCAGAGAGCCAGCTGCACCCAGAGAGCCAGCTGCACCCAGAGAGCCAGCTGCACCCAGAGAGCCAGTTGCACCCAGAGAGCCAGCTTCAACCAGAGAGCCAGCTGCACCCAGAGAGCCAGCTGCACCCAGAGAGCCAGCTGCACCCAGAGAGCCAGCTGCACCCAGAGAGAGCTGCGCCCAGAGAGCCAGCTGCACCCAGAGAGCCAGCTGCACCAGAGAGCCAGCTTCACCCAGAGAGCCAGCTTCACCCAGAGAGAGCTGCACCAGAGAGCCAGCTGCACCCAGAGAGCCAGCTGCACCCAGAGAGCCAGCTTCACCCAGAGAGCCAGCTTCACCCAGAGAGCCAGCTTCACCCAGAGAGCCAGCTTCACCCAGAGAGCCAGCTTCACCCAGAGAGCCAGCTGCACCCAGAGAGCCAGCTGCACCCAGAGAGCCAGCTGCACCCAGAGAGCCAGCTTCACCCAGAGAGCCAGCTGCACCCAGAGAGCCAGCTGCACCCAGAGAGCCAGCTGCACCCAGAGAGCCAGCTGCACCCAGAGAGCCAGCTGCACCAGAGAGAGCTTCACCCAGAGAGCCAGCTGCACCCAGAGAGCCAGCTGCACCCAGAGAGAGCTGCACCCAGAGAGAGCTGCACCCAGAGAGCCAGCTGCACCAGAGAGAGCTGCACCCAGAGAGCCAGCTGCACCAGAGAGCCAGCTGCACCAGAGAGCCAGCTGCACCAGAGAGAGCTGCACCAGAGAGAGCTGCACCCAGAGAGCCAGCTGCACCAGAGAGAGCTGCACCCAGAGAGCCAGCTGCACCCAGAGAGACAGCTGCACCCAGAGAGCCAGCTGCACCCAGAGAGCCAGCTGCACCCAGAGAGAGAGCTGCACCAGAGAGCCAGCTGCACCCAGAGAGAGCTGCACCCAGAGAGCCAGCTGCACCCAGAGAGAGAGAGCTGCCAGATGAGTGACTGACACACTACCTGGCAGCTTATATTATAGATAGCTTATATATAATTAAGTATAAATGTGTGTGTGTATATGTGTGTATGTATATATAGATAGGTTATATATAATTAAGTATAAATGTGTGTGTGTATATGTGTGTATGTATATATGTGTATTTATGTGTAAATATATTTATATTAAAAGCTTAGGGCTGTAGATCTATATATTAATCTTTTAAATATTTCTTCCTTACAACTAGAACAAGACTAAATGTCATAGTATGTTCTTCATCAGAAATGGTCACTGCCAACTACATACATTTGCACTGGTTATATCACACCAAGGTGACAGATAAATAATCAGAGCAACATCATGAGGTGTTCAAGTTAGTTTTTAGTTCTTCCTGCTCCCCAGAGCAACATCATGAGGTGTTCAAGTTAGTTTTTAGTTCTTCCTGCTCCCCAGAGCAACATCATGAGGTGTTCAAGTTAGTTTTTAGTTCTTCCTGCTCCCCAGAGCAACATCATGAGGTGTTCAAGTTAGTTTTTAGTTCTTCCTGCTCAAGCTTGTTTTGCTCCAGCATAATCCGTGTCTTAAGATTCCTTGATGCCACTTATCAAATGAGTGGATTAACACAAAACTTACTTCAAGTCTTCTCACCTCAAATATTTATCTCCCTTTAAAGAATTCAACAAATAACTGCACCGAGTGCGTGAAAGTTGCATTTGCACCTTGGCTGGGTGTTTGGTTAGATGTTTGTGTAGTATGTTTGTTTAGTGTTTGGTTATGTTTAGTCTGTTTTGTTTTGTCGCCTTTAGTTGTTTTTTATTTTGTAGTGTAGAATTACTTTTTTTTTATTATAGAAAATTTGTTTCCATTTAATGAATTTTATAAACTGTTAGCTTTTATTGTTTTCTTTTAGTTTAGACTTTAGTTTAGACTAAGGTTAGGATTTTAATCAGACTTGCACTGACCCAGATAGTTTAAGCCTAGGGAAGTAGATAAGTCATCATCCTGTCACGCCTTACATTGGCAACAAATTTTAAAAAAAACTAATGTCGCTTTGTTGGGTCGTGCATAAAAGAAAAAATTTCAGAACCCTGATTGTAAAGGGTTAAACTAATAGCTGCTCAGTATAATCATTAAACTATAACTTAAAAACTAATAGCGGCTCAGTATATTCATTAAACTAATAGCTGCTTACCATAATCATCTTTAAGTTGAATAATTTGATCCAAGGCCACAGATGTGAAAGCTCTTAAACATTCACCACCACTCTTTAAAAGGAAATAATATTTAGGATAATTCATGGCACCATTTATTTACATTAAGTTAAAAAGTTGAACCTACCAAAATAATGGCTTTCATTTGATATGATACAACCTTGTATACAGTATGATTTGCACCTGACCTTGAAATGTGGATCCAACATTGTAAATGTGCAAGATTTATTTGTGCATACAGTGGTATTTCCATATTTAACATTACTGATATTAACTCTTAATGTTGAATTATATTTATTAAATTGAATTCAAAGTCTAAGGTTTGAAAATTTTTTTTCCAATATTTCCATATTTGTTATTTTTTAATGCTGCAGAGCTGCATTCAGTTACATTTGTTCATACTCTAACGAATAAAAGTAAGCTTTTGTTCTCATTCAAAGCTAATCCAAAATTTGTGAAGAAACTGAAACAAATGTGCCACGTCATCCGGTGGTTTGGACACCCTGCTAGGGGAGGTAGGCCTTAGGAGCACTGGGAATAAAAGCTTGTAATCCATGACCCCCACACAGCACCAACAAGTAAATCCACCTTATTTACCTTTGTGATAAGGGTGGATTAGACGCTGGTAGCTGACACAGTTTTTCTCTTGTTTTATAAACAAGCACAGGTCTGGGGGGGGGGGGGGGGGTGGTGGCTGTGAGACCAAAACCAAATCAAACTTCAAGACAAATGTTTTATTAGGGTGTCCAATCATAAACCCCCTGGACATAAACCCTCCGCTACATGAACCCCCTGGACAAAAACCCCCAATTGAGGTTTATATAAGGAAAAACCAAAGATGATGAGAACCAAAATTAATAATTAAATACAAAACAAACATTAGAAAAAAAACAGTATTTTATTTTTATTATAACTTTAAAAAGACAAGATTATGAGCAATGGTAAGCTCATTTAAAGTTTTGACAAGTTAAAATTCGAGCGCTGCTATCAATATATTTTTTTTCATTTTTGGTAAACAGTGACCTGAATTAATCTGTGTACAATTAACCTCTTGGAGCGATTGTTCCTTTTTAATAAAGTCAATAAATTTCCAAACATCTGGGTGGCAACATCCCAAATTTGACTGGGAACTTCTGTGCCAGCCTTCAACTGAGTTATTTGTTTTTGGCATATGGTCTTCTGCACGTGTGTGCATGTTCCAAATGTCAAGTGGAAACATAGGTTGTCTTTGACCTCGACGTTGTGGTCTGCCAATATAGTAGTCCTCGAAATAGTCTGCAATTGGCATTGCTTTTTGTTGGAAAATTTCCGATAATTTATCAAAGGCATAACTAATGTGTTCAATGGGAACAAAAGCCAATGATTGATTTGGTCCATGCGAATGTTCATTACAACGTCCAACAAGCTGTTCACCATGAATCTGTATCTTAGCTTTGCATTCTGCCTTGTTGCGTCTTTTGGCACACTCAAATGACACAACACCATTCGCCAAATCTTTTTGCTTGACATAAACATAGCCTTCAAAAATCACCTTTAAATAGCCTTTATTAGATTGAACGAACTCCATTCCAGAAATGATAAGATTTGAGGAGAAATAAATTTCATGTTATATTTATACCATGCTTCTGTGTGCCAAGGTGGATATCAACCAAGTTTCCGCCGGTGAATCCCTCACATCTTTTGAATTGTTAAGAATGTGTTGCTTTGATCCGCACGGCTCCCACATGTGGATGACCTATATCTAAGGTGTTGTCGGTGCCCCATCTTTGATCAAATACAACCAAGGTCACTCCTTGACTTTCTAATAGCATGCTTATATGTAGAAACTCTTTTCTTAGTCTTTAAAAAAATAAAACTAATTAAATGTTATTTAGTTTTTCTTGGTTCTCATCATCGTTATTATTTCCTTATATAAACCTCAGTCTGGGGTTATTATCCAGGGGGTTTGTGTCGCTGGGGGTTTGTGTCGCTGGGATTTATGTCGCAGGGGTTTATGACGGGGGTGGGGTGTTTATGTTCAGGGGGTTTTGGACCGGGAGCCTTTATTAGGATGGACCTGTGCAAGTACTGCTGCTAACATTAGGGTCCACCACGACCAATTAAGGACAATGAGACTCAATTGGTGACATATGATACATATGGGGGCCTGTACAAAAGCCTGTAAAAGACATATGGGGGCCTGTACTAAAGCCTGTAAAAGACATATGGGGGCCTGTACAAAAGCCTGTAAAAGACATATGGGGGCCTGTACAGAAGCCATAGTGGTGTGAAGGAAGTAGGGGGGGGGGGGCTCTAAAGAAGCCTGTAAAGGAAGTAGGGGGGCCTGTACAGAAGCCTGTGGTGTCAAGGATGTATGCCCTTTTGTTAGGGATGCTGGAGTCATTAATATTACCAGGTTCTGGAACATGGTTACATTTGGAGAGGGTGCTGAATGAAAACTTAATCACCCTCAGCAACTTGGAGATGCAACCCCTGGTTTGTTTACACTGAAAATGCCCATAGGGGAGCCCTGGTGCAGTGGGTCACGTGTATGCAGAAACCCATTTTTACTTTCTCGTATATATGAAGTATAGAGAAAATCTTGTGGCTGGGGGGAGGGGAATAAAAGTTACATCACAGTTCATGCAGACGTTATTACTAATGTCTAGATAACTGTGACCTCACAATGACCCCTTCACTTGTTTGGGAGAAGGGGGCAACCGCATGTGGAATGTTGTTTTCCTTAAGTATTTCCAAAAAAACTATTCTCTAGATCTAGGAACTAAATATCAAAGGGGAATAATTCTAGGCTACTCAACAAGAGTAGACCTAAATACATTACTTTATTATTATTCTTTTTAAGCAACATTAACTTTCACTATTGACTGATAGGACTACTATTTTAGTAGTAGTTTAATTGAAAACATGCAATTAGATCATGAACAGATTACACAAGCATAATGTTGGAAACAAAATAGTTTCATTTTAATCAATTATTTAGAAAAATTTAATTTTATGTGGAGCGGGTTAGGCAACCTTAGAAAAGTTTTTTTCTCTGTCAATTTGGCTAGAGAAAGTTAAATATAAACACCTATCTATATATATAATTCTCTACGTGGGGACCATAAAGACACCACCACATAAGGGCTTAGCTTAGCCGTTCCTACCCCGCTCTCTAGGCCCATAGAAATATTGAGTACCACATACGTATTTGGGGTCACTGTGGGTTGACACATACGTTTAGATATCAGTGACTAGTTGTTACAAGAAGGAGCCCGACTTTGGATTTAAAATACAGATAGACAATTTATACCTCAACTACCACTCACACACCTCCCACTTAATTTTTTGTTATGACTGCCTGCAAACTTCATAAAAAAATAGCAGGTAAAATCAAGAACTCAATATTTCTATGGGCAATCCGTATTTCATTAAACAATTTTAAATACGCGCAACACATTCACAAAGTCTGAGGTCTAACAATTCGCGAGAATTCCAGACTTTTTAAAGTCTGGAATTCACTTCCCTAAATTCCAGACTTTTTAAAGTCTGAAATTCACTTCCCTAAATTCCAGACTTTTTAAAGTCTGAAATTCACTTCCCTAAATTCCAGACTTTTTAAAGTCTGAAATTCACTTCCCTAAATTCCAGACTTTTTAAAGTCTGAAATTCACTTCCCTAAATTCCAGACTTTTTAAAGTCTGAAATTCACTTCCCTAAATTCCAGACTTTTTAAAGTCTGAAATTCACTTCCCTAAATTCCAGACTTTTTAAAGTCTGAAATTCACTTCCCTAAATTCCAGACTTTTTAAAGTCTGAAATTCACTTCCTTAAATTCCAGACTTTTTCCAGGCTTTCCAAGATTTCAAAATAAAATTGAGGTTTCAAAACTGAAATGGTAGAGTTTGTAGCTAGCAGTTTTAAAACGGAAGGTGAATTAAATACAAGTATATAATTTATAACTAGACAACTACGCTTGCGACATAAGCAGGAAATAAACCAGGTTCAGGTGATGTACATTTTCTTCATAAACCAGGTTCAGGAGATGTACATTTCCTTCATAAACCAGGTTCAGGAGATGTACATTTCCTTCATAAACCAGGTTCAGGAGATGTACATTTCCTTCATAAACCAGGTTCAGGAGATGTACATTTTCTTCATAAACCAGGTTCAGGAGATGTACATTTCCTTCATAAACCAGGTTCAGGAGATCTACATTTCCTTCATAAACCAGGCTCAGGAGATGTACATTTCCTTCATAAACCAGGTTCAGGAGATGTACATTTTCTTCATAAACCAGGCTCAGGAGATGTACATTTTCTTCATAAACCAGGTTCAGGAGATGTACATTTCCTTCATAAACCAGGCTCAGGAGATGTACATTTTCTTCATACAACTGCAACAATTAAGAATACATTTTTTCAAAATATTTTTGTCTGAAAATATTTAGAATATATAAGCAGCAATGTTCCGATTGAACATTCAAATTCTGATCAATTTAGGAAATGTGCCAAAACTTTGTTACATCCTGGTTTAAATACTGCCTATATGGCTGTTTTCATTTTGGTCTCAATAAATTCTACCAACAGAAAGATACAAATGAATATGAAATCAGCTTACCTGTAGAGTGGAGCTATCATCTGTGGTAAGCAAAGCATGAATGACAGGCATAAAACAGGATAACATTGTGTCAGACAAGGGTAGGGGCACACTGCGAATAAGGCAGGTTACCATCTCAATGGAAACCTTGGTGGAAGAGAAAAACTGTTTTTACAGGATTGACACTGATGATAAAAGGACAAATCTAAACTTGCAAACATTCAACATACCAAAACTAGGTGGAAGAGACATTTCAAAAACTGTTTTTACAGGATTGACACTGATGATAAAAGGACAAATCTAAACTTGCAAACATTCAACATACCAAAGCTAAACTTGCAAACATTCAACATACCAAAACTAAACTTGCAAACATTCAACATACCAAAACTAAACTTGCAAACATTCAACATACCAAAACTAAACTTGCAAACATTCAACATACCAAAGCAAAACTTGCAAACATTCAACATACCAAAACTAAACTTGCAAACATTCAACATACCAAAGCAAAACTTGCAAACATTCAACATACCGAGACTAAGCCAGGAGAAAGCTTTTCTGAATCTGAATTGAGAATACTGTTGAGGGTTTGAGTGAACCTGCTTTGTATTGCAGCAGTACAAGCAGGGTTGGCAGCAAGCACTCTCACAATATCCTGGACTAGTGACACAAGAAATGGATCTGAAAAAAAAATGGGTTCAGCTACATTTGACAATATCCTAGACTAGTGACACAAGAAATGGATCTGAAAAAAAAATGGGTTCAGCTACATTTGACAATATCCTAGACTAGTGACACAAGAAATGGATCTGAAAAAAAAATGGGTTCAGCTACATTTGACAATATCCTAGACTAGTGACACAAGAAATGGATCTGAAAAAAAAATGGGTTCAGCTACATTTGACAATATCCTAGACTAGTGACACAAGAAATGGATCTGAAAAAAAAATGGGTTCAGCTACATTTGACAATATCCTAGACTAGTGACACAAGAAATGGATCTGAAAAAAAAATGGGTTCAGCTACATTTGACAATATCCTAGACTAGTGACACAAGAAATGGATCTGAAAAAAAAATGGGTTCAGCTACATTTGACAATATCCTAGACTAGCGACACAAGAAATGGATCTGAAAAAAAAATGGGTTCAGCTACATTTGACAATATCCTAGACTAGTGACACAAGAAATGGATCTGAAAAAAAAATGGGTTCAGCTACATTTGACAATATCCTAGACTAGTGACACAAGAAATGGATCTGAAAAAAAAATGGGTTCAGCTACATTTGACAATATCCTAGACTAGTGACACAAGAAATGGATCTGAAAAAAAAATGGGTTCAGCTACATTTGACAATATCCTAGACTAGTGACACAAGAAATGGATCTGAAAAAAAAATGGGTTCAGCTACATTTGACAATATCCTAGACTAGTGACACAAGAAATGGATCTGAAAAAAAAATGGGTTCAGCTACATTTGACAATATCCTAGACTAGTGACACAAGAAATGGATCTGAAAAAAAAATGGGTTCAGCTACATTTGACAATATCCTAGACTAGTGACACAAGAAATGGATCTGAAAAAAAAATGGGTTCAGCTACATTTGACAATATCCTAGACTAGTGACACAAGAAATGGATCTGAAAAAAAAATGGGTTCAGCTACATTTGACAATATCCTAGACTAGTGACACAAGAAATGGATCTGAAAAAAAAATGGGTTCAGCTACATTTGACAATATCCTAGACTAGTGACACAAGAAATGGATCTGAAAAAAAAAATGGGTTCAGCTACATTTGACAATATCCTAGACTAGTGACACAAGAAATGGATCTGAAAAAAAAATGGGTTCAGCTACATTTGACAATATCCTAGACTAGTGACACAAGAAATGGATCTGAAAAAAAATGGGTTCAGCTACATTTGACAATATCCTAGACTAGTGACACAAGAAATGGATCTGAAAAAAAAATGGGTTCAGCTACATTTGACAATATCCTAGACTAGTGACACAAGAAATGGATCTGAAAAAAAAATGGGTTCAGCTACATTTGACAATATCCTAGACTAGTGACACAAGAAATGGATCTGAAAAAAAAATGGGTTCAGCTACATTTGACAATATCCTAGACTAGTGACACAAGAAATGGATCTGAAAAAAAAATGGGTTCAGCTACATTTGACAATATCCTAGACTAGTGACACAAGAAATGGATCTGAAAAAAAAATGGGTTCAGCTACATTTGACAATATCCTAGACTAGTGACACAAGAAATGGATCTGAAAAAAAAATGGGTTCAGCTACATTTGACAATATCCTAGACTAGTGACACAAGAAATGGATCTGAAAAAAAAATGGGTTCAGCTACATTTGACAATATCCTAGACTAGTGACACAAGAAATGGATCTGAAAAAAAAATGGGTTCAGCTACATTTGACAATATCCTAGACTAGTGACACAAGAAATGGATCTGAAAAAAAAATGGGTTCAGCTACATTTGACAATATCCTAGACTAGTGACACAAGAAATGGATCTGAAAAAAAAATGGGTTCAGCTACATTTGACAATATCCTAGACTAGTGACACAAGAAATGGATCTGAAAAAAAAATGGGTTCAGCTACATTTGACAATATCCTAGACTAGTGACACAAGAAATGGATCTGAAAAAAAAATGGGTTCAGCTACATTTGACAATATCCTAGACTAGTGACACAAGAAATGGATCTGAAAAAAAAATGGGTTCAGCTACATTTGACAATATCCTAGACTAGTGACACAAGAAATGGATCTGAAAAAAAAATGGGTTCAGCTACATTTGACAATATCCTAGACTAGTGACACAAGAAATGGATCTGAAAAAAAAATGGGTTCAGCTACATTTGACAATATCCTAGACTAGTGACACAAGAAATGGATCTGAAAAAAAAATGGGTTCAGCTACATTTGACAATATCCTAGACTAGTGACACAAGAAATGGATCTGAAAAAAAAATGGGTTCAGCTACATTTGACAATATCCTAGACTAGTGACACAAGAAATGGATCTGAAAAAAAAATGGGTTCAGCTACATTTGACAATATCCTAGACTAGTGACACAAGAAATGGATCTGAAAAAAAAATGGGTTCAGCTACATTTGACAATATCCTAGACTAGTGACACAAGAAATGGATCTGAAAAAAAAAATGGGTTCAGCTACATTTGACAATATCCTAGACTAGTGACACAAGAAATGGATCTGAAAAAAAAATGGGTTCAGCTACATTTGACAATATCCTAGACTAGTGACACAAGAAATGGATCTGAAAAAAAATGGGTTCAGCTACATTTGACAATATCCTAGACTAGTGACACAAGAAATGGATCTGAAAAAAAAATGGGTTCAGCTACATTTGACAATATCCTAGACTAGTGACACAAGAAATGGATCTGAAAAAAAAATGGGTTCAGCTACATTTGACAATATCCTAGACTAGTGACACAAGAAATGGATCTGAAAAAAAAATGGGTTCAGCTACATTTGACAATATCCTAGACTAGTGACACAAGAAATGGATCTGAAAAAAAAATGGGTTCAGCTACATTTGACAATATCCTAGACTAGTGACACAAGAAATGGATCTGAAAAAAAAATGGGTTCAGCTACATTTGACAATATCCTAGACTAGTGACACAAGAAATGGATCTGAAAAAAAAATGGGTTCAGCAACATTCAGATATAGATTTCTTATTTAAATCAATTAAAATTTGACAAGGATTATCAACAGGTATCATTTTTATTTTTTGAATGAATACATTTTGGTAGTCCTAGTAATGCTTGACAATCTAAACAAAAACCAGTAGGATTTGAAAACCTCTACTTGTCCCCAGTTAGGTCACAGTAGTCTAGACATCAGTAAGCCTTTTTAATACATCATAGAATGGACTGTTACGTGACTTTCATTCCACCCCCCCTAGCTAAGAGCTACCAAATATGTACTTGGGGTCACAATAAGTTTAGATATCAGTGAAGGTACATAAAGGAGGGGCAGTTAGTCAGCCCTTATTGTCAACATTGACAAATATTTCAGAAACAATTTAACGGAAAGTGAATTAAAAATACAGATAGATAAATTATACCTTAACTAATGCTCACATGCCTCCCCCAGAATTTTTTGCTATGACTGAAACTCAGATAAATTTCATGAAAAATAGTGGGTAAAAACTGAGAGATCAACATTTTTATAGGAGATCATTTTTTCATTAGATAACAATTTTACATACCTGTAATACATTCACACAACACAAAAAAAAAAACTACTGAGGTCTAACAATCTCCTCCCCCTCCTCTCCCAATGACTTTGTGACTCAGTGGTGGGGCTTCTACTGTGACCCAGCCAAAAACGTAAAACCGTGTAAGCCTGTGCGATGGGGAAAAAATTGACAGAAAAAAAAAATAGCCTTTCTGTTAGTCGGAAAAATGGACTTTGTGGAGAAGTTTTGATTCTAAAACTAGATTCCATACCAAAAACTAGGGACTGAAATTCACTTTTCAAAATTCCAGACTTTTTCTAGAACCTTGAGCTCACTAAATACTTTACACTTGCACTACGCTTTTTCAACCTGCTTTTGTTGTGGGAAAAGGTAGTGTTATTGAAAACCATTTTAGTATTTTGTCCTCCAGAGTCCAATACCCCAGTTATACTCACAGACATGCCTGCACCTGTCAGCCAAAAGTACAAACAGTCATGAGTAAAAATAGGAATTTGAAGCCAAAAAGAGGAACATATACGCAGACACTACTTTACTAAGTAGAAAATAAAAATAATTAATAAAAAATTAGTCTAATGACATTAGTGGGCTTCTAGTTATATATAACTAGTCTCTTTGACATAACATTGTTGATTTGACTTCCTGGCTTGCTATGTTCTAGGCCAAAGGTTCCCAAACTAGGGATCGCGAAGGGCTTTCTGGTACACTAAACCTTAGCAATGAGAAACAAAACATTAACATTTAGAAGAATATCTGAAACTCCGCTTTACTAACATTACTGGAAATGGAATAGAGAAGAAGCAATGCGTACTGTATATAAAGTTTTTCTCAGTCACGAGTTTATGAAATATTCAAAACTAAAACGTCATTTTGAGATGAGTCATTCGGAACACACCAAAAACAATATAAAGTTCTTTCATCAGCATGAAGCTAGTTGCAAACATCAGAGGCTTGATAGAACAGGAAGTTTTCACCAAGGAAACACAGCTTTCGTGAAAGCATCAAATGAAGTCGCGATAGAAAATGCCAAGCAAAAAGAAAACACAATAGGAGAAAATCTCATCAAACCCTGCATGTTGAAGATGGTGAAATAAATTTTGGGCATTCCAGTGCAGTAAAGATGCAACAAATATCTCTGCCTAACAATACTACTCAGCAGCTTATAGCAGACATGTCCGTAGATGTTAAATAACAAATTTTTAATGAAATCAAGCTTTCACCATTGTTTGCTTTTCAAGTTGAAAAATCAACAGACGTGAGTTCGTGTTCGCAGTTGCTGGTCTTCGTCTATATCAAGGGTCGGCAACCTTTCGAGACGGAAGAGCCAAAAGTTACAATTTATAAAATTTCCCAGTTTTTAAACAGCCACTAACATTTTATGTTAATATTTAATATGGATTAGGTGAATAAATTTTAAATAAATTTAGTTTAGGCCCCTAAGTATGAAATTATATCTATTTATTTTGCACAAAACATTAAATTATTTTAGCTATCTCTGCTTGTATAAAAAAAATAATTATATAGCTTTGGTGCTATCCCTACCCAATTTAGAAGCTAATAACTAAAATGCTACATCACTCAGGTCAAATTTATGAATGCTGACATATAAAGAAATGCAACTTCAATAAAATAACATTCACTATTGAACAATATTCGAAACAAAGTGTGGACATTGGTAGTGGAAAGCATGGAACCATTGCCACGGGACTCTCAGCTGTCCTTATACACTTTATTCCATCTATTCTCAATGTTTTTTTATTTTGTTTTAGTGTTTTATCTTGTTCGAAGGTGTTTTTTTTTTTATAGTAATATATATTAATATTATTTGTGCAAGGAACTGAAGAGCCGCATTTTGACATCAAAAGAGCTGCATGCGCCTCGCGAGATGCAGGTTACCGACACATACTCAAGCAATTTGAACTTGTCCCTTGATTTCAAGGGATCCTAATTTTCCAACTCGATCAAAAGACTAATGCTTTTATACATATTTTTAGAGCAAATTTATTCAGAAATCCAATAATTACGAAGAATGGACAAAATATTACTTAAGAACGTATTAATAGTTGTGTAAAATATAATAAATAAAACAATCATTTCAATTTATATTGTATTATTACTTTTGTTACCTTGCAAAAATTCAGGAAATTTGTTGCTTCCCCTGGTTAGTATCAATGTTTAAATGGGAAACAATTAAAAAAAATTATTCTCTAGTTCAGGGGTCGGCAACCTTTTGAGATGGAAGAGCTATAAGTTAAAATTTTGACCATTTCCCATTTTTTAAAGAGCCTCTGACATTTTTATTTCAATATTTTATTATTTGATTAGGATTAGATGAATAAATTTGATTTGTTATTTAAAATAAATAGCTTTAAATATGAAATAATATTTATTCATATAAAAACATACACTTGTTTCCATTTTGGAAGCTGTACATTTTTTATTTTTTTTATACGGTTAACACCGGCTCAGGAGGTGTCTCCCATTAGCCATGCAGGCCTCAACACCGCAAACTCCGACTAACTGGCTTGGATATAAGTTTGATTACCGTGTATCTGTCACTCCTGTCCTTTGGTTCTCACCAGGCTTATCTTCCATCCCACAGAGCCCAGGGTAAACTCGTACCCCACCGTCCAGTACCCGGCTCAACAGTAGGAAGTTAATAAAAACTACTCACTCACGTCAAACTAATGATTACTGACGGATAGGGAAATTCATTCTAAATTAACAGTCCCCATTTAACGATATTCAAAAAAGTCAGCATTTGGGCAGTGGCAAGGATGGAGTGGTTGTCACGGGGCTGGCTACAGCAGGACTGTGGGGTTGGGCCTGGTGCCCAAGCGGCAGTCAGCTGTTTACTCTATACTCCACCTATTCTCACTGTTCTCTGATGAAGTGTTTTTATCCTGTTTAAATTTAATTTTAATTTAATATAATTTTTGTTATGAGATTTGAAAATAATATAACCATTAATATTTGTGCAAGGAGCTGGAGAGCCACATCGTGACACCAAAAGAGCCGCATGCGGCTCGCAAGCCGCTGGAAATCTGGAGCCTTCAAACAACTGTGCAAAGACATTAATATAGATCACGAGGTTCTGCTTTTCTGATGTACAGTACGCTGGTGGTCAAACAAAATGTTGTGAATCATATTTTTGAATTGAAATCTGAAATCAAATTGTTCTTGGAAGTGCAAAGGAAACTAGACATTTTGATATACTTAAAACGACATAGAGTGGTTGATATATTCGAACATCAACATAAGCTTAATCTGTAGCTTCAGGGAAAATGAATGAATATTATCACTTTCCATGATAATCTCGGGGCATTTTTATCAAAATTGCAAAACTGGCAAAGAACGTGAATCTGGGAAATATTGAAAATTTGAGAAACTCTGCAGTGTGGTAGATGAATCTGATTGTGAGATCATTAAAATTTTGAAAGGAGCGATTTCTGGGCATCTAGAATCTCTTGAAAAAAAACTGTGGCGCTATTTCTCTGAGCTGAAAGAAGAAGAATCTGCATTGACGCATTACCCATTCTCTTCCCTTGATGTTGCCAGCATTCCCAATGAATTACAAGATGAATTCTTTGATTTGCTAAATGATTCCGTGTAAGATGAAAAACTGCACACACAATTTTGGTGTAGTTTTCACCATTCATACCCAAACAAAAAATTGATTGACTTTTCGAGAATAGATTTTCAACACTATTCTACGATTAAAAACAAAGTTAAATAAACCGGGAGTGATCTCCCCTAAACTTTCTCGAATATTCTTATATAAAATAACAGGGGATGGGAACTCGGGCTATAGACATGATTTTTAATCCATTTTAAATACTTAAAGTTTTAAAAATAGAATAAAATCTCGTAGACAAATTAATTGCACACCAAGTGAACGCCCAATAAAAAAGCGCATAATAGTGCGCAATATTATTAGTACTTTTAAAATTTACATTAGTTTTTTGAGAAATCGGAAGTAGCGTAAATTACTACTTCCAGTCAACGGAAATTACTCAAAATTTAACAGAAGGTAGAGGATTAGATCTTTTACTTACATGTGAAATTTCATTTATCTATCTGAAATAGTACTCAAGTTATAGGCTTTTAAAAAATTCAAAGTAGGAAAAGTACCACTTCCGGTTATCGGAAATCGCTCAAAAGTTGATACGGATCTACGATTTTGATAAAATACTTATATATGAAATTTCATCAACCTAGCTGTAACGGTACTCAAGTTATCGTGTTTACACACGGACAGACACACACACAGACAGACACACACACACACACAGACATACGGACTAGATTGCAAAATTATGTTTTTCCGTATCAGTGAGATGTAAAACGTCGAGATCTGTAAAAATCTCGATTTTTTTTTTTGCACGATTACAATACTTTCTCTATACTACGTATATACGAGAAAGTAAAAATAAATTGAATGTTGATAATGACATAGGTTGGCGTTAACAAAAACTTAACCGCGAATGTTTAGTAAAATAGCATGCAATTTTACTCATCGTATTAAAACAGTTATCAAGAGTAATTCATATTGAAAGTCTACTAGAAAATCTTATTTTAGTGCTTATTAATTTCCTTTCAAATGCAGCTTTTTGATTCTATTGGGGTCGCAGGTCACTTACTTTTATAAAATTTTCAAAATTTTTTGGGAACCACTGTTCTAGGCTATATGAACAACAAATGCTGAAGGGTAACTAGTAAAAAGTCCTAGTTACTTCTTACTAAGTTCTTCATAATAGTAGTTACTAGTTACAACTTACAAGAGATAAGTATCTAGTAGATCTACAAACACAGCATTCAGCATCACTTATTTAATTACAATTAAATAAGACTATTTACCCCAATTATAGAATCATGAACAATCTTATAGAAACTTGTTTTGGGTTTTTTTAGGGAATGTATGCTGGTTTGACACAAATATTGAAAAATATCAATCAAAATCTACCTAAAGCAGATGGTGCAAAGCCTGATACATGTACATGCTTCTCTTCAAGAATGAATCACATCATTTATTAATTCAGAAGCCCCTTTGTTTAAATCATCCCACGTTCATTAGAAACCTATTTCAAATATGTCATAAATGTTTTTGAAAGCAGATAGGAGTAGTTTATTTAGACATGATTTATCTCAGGGTCTACGGTAAAGTATTGGCTTAACCCTTAATAATTTGATAGTGACCATCTCCCCCCCCCCCCCCCCCATACGGACATGATTTTTTTAAAGCATGTACTGACCTCCTGCATGTTTCAGGAACACAGCCAGAGCCAGTGGACCAAGTCTTTGCTCATTGCTGGCACTAAAATCATCGTCTACCTGGTAGGAGAAAAATGGCTTCAAGTAGCAGAAGATAAAGAAATACCTCAACTTACACACCAAACTTTCCATTTAGTGAAGATAAAGAAATGCCTCAACTTACAGACCAAACTTTTCATTTATTGAAGATAAAGAAATACCTCAACTTACAGACCAAACTTTTCATTGATTGAAGATAAAAAAATGCCTCAACTTACAGACCAAACTTTTCATTGATTGAAGATAAAAAAAATGCCTCAACTTACAGACCAAACTTTTCATTGATTGAAGATAAAGAAATGCCTCAACTTACAGACCAAACTTTTCATTTATTGAAGATAAAGAAATGCCTCAACTTACAGACCAAACTTTTCATTTATTGAAGATAAAGAAATACCTCAACTTACAGACCAAACTTTTCATTGATTGAAGATAAAAAAATGCCTCAACTTACAGACCAAACTTTTCATTGATTGAAGATAAAAAAAATGCCTCAACTTACAGACCAAACTTTTCATTGATTGAAGATAAAGAAATGCCTCAACTTACAGACCAAACTTTTCATTTATTGAAGATAAAGAAATGCCTCAACTTACAGACCAAACTTTTCATTGATTGAAGATAAAAAAATGCCTCAACTTACAGACCAAACTTTTCATTGATTGAAGATAAAGAAATGCCTCAACTTACAGACCAAACTTTTCATTGATTGAAGATAAAGAAATGCCTCAAATTACAGACCAAACTTTTCATTGATTGAAGATAAAGAAATGCCTCAACTTACAGACCAAACTTTTCATTTATTGAAGATAAAGAAATGCCTCAACTTACAGACCAAACTTTTCATTGATTGAAGATAAAGAAATGCCTCAAATTACAGACCAAACTTTTCATTGATTGAAGATAAAGAAATGCCTCAACTTACAGACCAAACTTTTCATTGATTGAAGATAAAGAAATGCCTCAAATTACAGACCAAACTTTTCATTGATTGAAGATAAAGAAATGCCTCAACTTACAGACCAAACTTTTCATTGATTGAAGATAAAAAAATGCCTCAGCCTCAACTTACAGATCAAACTTTTCATTGATTGAAGATAAAGAAATGCCTCAACTTACAGACCAAACTTTTCATTTATTGAAGATAAAGAAATGCCTCAAATTACAGACCAAACTTTTCATTGATTGAAGATAAAGAAATGCCTCAACTTACAGACCAAACTTTTCATTGATTGAAGATAAAGAAATGCCTCAAATTACAGACCAAACTTTTCATTGATTGAAGATAAAGAAATGCCTCAACTTACAGACCAAACTTTTCATTGATTGAAGATAAAAAAATGCCTCAGCCTCAACTTACAGACACAACCACAGCCAAAGTCTCCAAACACAGGCCCATGACTTCTGTAGAGAATTGGGTGCCGATGTTCATTAAGCCTTCCAGAATGTTTTGCAAGTATGGCACAAGAAGTTGAGTATTTCCAGCAACTTTGAGGTGATCACAGAATCCAAAAACAGATCTTACAGCAGATATTCTTATACTGGCTGGCTGTGTCATGTGAAGGCCCCCAACAGTGGCTTGCAGCAACCTAAAACAATGACCAATTAAAGAGTCAACAAGAATCAATTGGGATGCCCAAGTTTGTCATTTCACTAGTTCAGAGCAGTGTTCCCAGGAAACTAGTTAGCCATATCCTGCTTGAGGCATTAGCAAAAACTGCTGCATCCCAGACCTGTACATACATAAAGTGGGGCACTTGAGCCCATCAAAAATATAGAAGCTTGTCTTTTAGACCCCCCTGTATTGAAGCTAGCAAGAGTAGAGCCCCTTCCCCACCCAGTCTATGTTGAAGCTAGCAAGAGTAGAGCCCCTTTCCTGGGTGCTGTGTCCATCACCTGATAACTTCCAGGGAAACAACTTCCTTTGGATTTTAAGTATGTTTTTTACATTTGAATGTCTTTTTCAACACAATTTTTTCTAACTGTAACTGTGTAACACATACCCAGTTACCAGCCAAGGGAAATAATCAAAATATTATTTGGTTGTGGGACTTGTGGGTCCACAGTTGTTGATAGTATGTTGTGCTCTTGTGAGCAATTGTTATTTTTCTCAAGTCTTGTGACCTCTAGGAGTCTAGGTCTGACATTACACAAGGGGAGTACTCGTAAAGTGTTGTTCAATTAAGATCCAGTGTGTTGATGGTCTTTAGTGAAAGATAATGGCCACATTAGCTCGTAAAGTGTTGTTCAATTAAGATCCAGTGTGTTGATGGTCTTTAGTGAAAGATAATGGCCACATTAGCTCATAAAGTGTTGTTGAATTAAGATCCAGTGTGTTGATGGTCTTTAGTGAAAGATAATGGCCACATTAGCTCGTAAAGTGTTGTTCAATTAAGATCCAGTGTGTTGATGGTCTTTAGTGAAAGATAATGGCCACATTAGCTAGTAAAGTGTTGTTGAATTAAGATCCAGTGTGTTGATGGTCTTTAGTGAAAGATAATGGCCACATTAGCTAGTATAAGTGTTGTTGAATTAAGATCCAGTGTGTTGATGGTCTTTAGTGAAAGATAATGGCCACATTAGCTAGTTTCGGTATAATGAAAGTAACTGCAATAAATCATTATTGTATGTATTTTGTGAGTATTTGAGTAGTCGGTTGACTAACAAACATATACCTTTATACCAGTATTTTTATTACACTGTGACTGCAGTATAATTTTGCATATTATTAGTGCTGTACTATAATGCTTTAATTATTTGAATTATGTATTGATTACCTTAGTCAAACTGGCATGGTTATAGTTGACCATATAGTGCCGCACAATGCAGGCTAGAGTTGGATGATAATTATATTTTAATCAGGCTTGTCACATTATCATTGTGGGTCTGATGTACTCACTTTTGTATTAAATCTGGTGTCATGGCTTCTGTAAATCTGCTTGCAGTCCACAGACACCTTCCCACTAGGAAGGGTGATACTGCAATTATACGTACATACCAACATCAGACCAATTCATAATACCACTTGTTATCATACGTACATACAAATGTCAGACCATATCACAATATCACTTTTTATCATACGTACATACAAATGTCAGACCATATCACAGCATCACTTGTTATCATACGTACATACCATTGTCAGACCAATTTACAATATCACTTGTTATCATACGTACATACCAATATCAGACTAATTTACAATATCACTTGTTATCATAGCATCAGTTGCTTTTGTTTAGTACATAAATGACCAAATAAACATCTAGTATCAAACCTGAAGAATTCATGTCTCCGAGCACTACAGATTGTAAGAAACCAGTCAGATGAAACTTTGCTATGCCAGATTTTATGGCTTCAAGGACCATTTCTTTTACACTTCCTAGAGCAAGCATACAGGATTCATGAAGTTTCCACCTGATAGAAAAATGCACAATGACATTATACAGTGGAAGTGGAAAATTTTTTTTTTTAAAAATCCCAAACTTTTGCAGCCACTCACCAGTGTTGATTGCCTGAAGTTTGAGCAGCCTCAGACTCCTGCAAATGTTTTGTTACAGCTTGGCACAAAGCCTCAGGGCAAACAGCTGGAAACTCTGCACCTAATGACTACAGACAACTCTGGTTAACATTTCAGACAACTCTGGTTAACACAACATTTCAGACAACTCTGGTTAACACAACATTTCAGACAACTCTGGTTAATACAACATTTCAGACAACTCTGGTTAACACAACATTTCAGACAACTCTGGTTAACACAACATTTCAGACAACTCTGGTTAATACAACATTTCAGACAACTCTGGTTAATACAACATTTCAGACAACTCTGGTTAACACAACATTTCAGACAACTCTGATTAACACAACATTTCAGACAACTCTGGTTAATACAACATTTCAGACAACTCTGGTTAATACAACATTTCAGACAACTCTGGTTAACACAACATTTCAGACAACTCTGGTTAATACAACATTTCAGACAACTCTGATTAACACAACATTTCAGACAACTCTGGTTAATACAACATTTCAGACAACTCTGGTTAATACAACATTTCAGACAACTCTGGTTAACACAACATTTCAGACAACCCTGGTTAATACACCATTTACACTCATCTGGTTAATACAACATTTACACTCATCTGGTTAATACTTATATAATTTACAATCATCTGCTCTCAAAGAATATTATACATGATACAAAACAGAAACAAGTTAAAACTAGCAAATGTTTAAGGCTCACTAGCAGTAAATCCAGAGCAGAGATCCTGACAGAATAAGAGAAACTATCATCATCTTCGTCTTCCACAAACTGATCTGGATTATTACTCCACATTCCAATCTGTTTCAAACATCATTTTTTAAATATCCAATGACAACAATCAAGTGAAACAATACAAGTCAATTTTAGAATCTAATTCACAAAGCATCTACATAAAAATAGTCTTAGTACTTTTTAATGGACGTTTAAGAAATATATTTGTATATGTGGAGGCAATAAAGCAAGAGTAAAGGTTTTTTGAAGTGAGCTACCTGATCCTCTGTCATTTGCATATAAATAATGATATAGTAGATGATCTGGTCAACTGTTTTTTTAACTGTACTACGAAATTTGCTGGATTCTATCAGACTGTGGACAAATTCAAACACGGTGTACACCAGATTCTCAAAGCCCAACACATCTCCTGAAAATTGAGAGGACAAATATAAGCAACTGACAGGACTGCAGGGTCAAGCACTAGAACCCTCAAGTCTGGTGTTAACCCTAACCCAGCTGTAATGGCTAGCTAACTCAAGTTGACTAAATAGTCAACATTTTTAACATTACTCGTACAACCTAACCCTAACCCAGCTGTAATGGCTAGCTAACTCAAGTTGACTAAATAGTCGACATTATTAACATTACTCGTACAACCTAACCCTAACCCAGCTGTAATGGCTAGCTAACTCAAGTTGACTAAATAGTCAACATTTTTAACATTACTCGTACAACCTAACCCTAACCCAGCTGTAATGGCTAGCTAACTCAAGTTGACTAAATAGTCGACATTTTTAACATTACTCGTACAACCTAACCCTAACCCAGCTGTAATGGCTAGCTAACTCAAGTTGACTAAATAGTCGACATTTTTAACATTACTCGTACAACCTAACCCTAACCCAGCTGTAATGGCTAGCTAACTCAAGTTGACTAAATAGTCGACATTTTTAACATTACTCGTACAACCTAACTCTGACAGCTTTATCACTTTATGAATTCATGAAAACTATTGGATAAAATTCAGAGGCAGTTATTGCGTCTAGGTTTTATTCAATAGAAAACACAATCCTTGGCAATGTTCAGTACTTTATTTGTTCTCATTTTACACTTTACACCACATGCCCTATTCCCTACCTGCTACCAATGAGCACAACTGACAATCATTTCACTTTTATACCTGCATTCGATCATGGGATAACAATATACAAACACCCCTGGATTAACTCAACTCACACTCTCCCCTAAGTTCTAGATTATTCAGACCTATTCTAACCTAACCTTGAAATGACCCTAACAGTAATGTCCATACGCAATGACTCTTTCAATAAATAATTATTTTAAATAGTTGAAGCACATACACAAAAAATTTACATTTATGAGTCGTGTAGCTATTAATTTTCATTACAAATGCAATAAATAAATGCTGGCATTAGCACATTTTTTTTTTTTCACAGTAAATAGATAAAGATTTAGACTACAATGCAAGGTCACTGCAAATTCAATAAAAATCTCAGGTTGCAGTGACAGAAATGTCAGATTCAATGCCAGTAAAAGTCAGAAATGCATTTATAAACGTTAGTTTATAAGTTTAGTCCTGCAAAATGGTAACCGGCATAAAAACGACTTCATTCAAACTTTAAATACTATACCAACTTGATTTTCTATTTGCCAAATTTCAGTGTCAGCTAAGAAAACAAAAGTAGGGGTGTAATGACTTATTCCTTTGTGGCCCACAATAATTGAGATCAAGAGAGATTACTTGGGCAGAGGGCTAAAGAAGGTTGGGTATAGAAGGTAAAGAAAAGACAGTTATTTGTCTGGATGTCTAGATCTATAGTCTACTGTGGGCTACCTCTGTAGATGCCTTGTTAGGGTCTAGTGGATATCATATTGTTCTTGTCTACTGATTGTCCCAAAAAAAAAAACACAGAGAGATAAAGGATTGAGTCAGGCTCATTGTGTCAATAGCTTTTGGTTGTACTACACTCGTGTATCTTACTTCCCTTAAAGGGCCGTTACAAAAACAAAAGACATACCATCAGAATCCACAGGATCATCTGCATCTTCCAGGTTATTCACAACTGTTCTAACGTATCTGGCAGCTGAGTCATGGCAAATAGTTCTAGGCCAAAACCACAAAACACAGTGATATCCAGTGTTAAACCAAGACAACAACTGCACCTAGACAACACCAAGAAAACAGCACCACCAAGACAACAACAGCAGCACCAATACAACAACAACAGCACCTAGACAACAACAGCAGCACCAAGACAACAACAGCAGCACCTAGACAACACCAAGAAAACAGCACCACCAAGACAACAACAGCAGCACCAATACAACAACAGCAGCACCAAGACAACAACAGCACCAAGACAACATCAGCAGCACCTAGACAACATCAGCAGCACCTAGACAACAACAGCAGCACCTAGACAACAACAGCACCTAGACAACAACAGCAGCACCTAGACAACACCAAGAAAACAGCAGCACCAAGACAACAACAGCAGCACCAAGGCAACAACAGCAGCACCAAGACAACAACAACAGCACCAAGACAACAACTGCACCAAGACAACAGCACCTAGACAAAAACAGCACCAAGACAACAACAACAGCACCAAGACAACTGCACCTAGACAACAGCACCTAGACAACAACAGCAGCACCAAGACAACAACAGCACCAAGACAACAACTGCAGCAAGACAACAACTGCAGCAAGACAACAACAGCACCTAGACAACAACAGCACCATCAAGACACCAACCGCAGCACACCAACAGCAGCACCAAGACAACAACTGCACCAAAACAACAGCACCTAGACAACAACAGGACCGAGTCAACAACAGAACTCAGACAATAACTGATATTATTCCGAGCAAGTCAAGGATACATCTCAGCACTCTGAGTAAAAATTGTCCAAATGGAGGGAAGAATCTCTGGGAGCCATTCAGACATGGTTTTAGGAAACCCTTTAATTAACGTTGTTAAAGCCTGTCCAAATCAAATCAATTAGTTTTCAGACATGATTTTAGGAAACTTTCTAAGAATTAGAATCCACCACATGCTCCTTAGTAAAAATGTACACATATCTTTTGACTGAATGACAATTAACACATAGGTACTCTTTTATGTCAGGGACTTGTTTATATTTTATTTTTTTCATTCAAAAAACATGACATGGATTATAGCAGGATGTTGATGTCCCAAAAAAAGCTTTTATCACAAGAAAATGCTTAAGCATTCAAGTGTTCTAAAAAGCAGGTATTAGGTTAAACTGATGAGAAAAGCTAGTTTATCATCTAAATGAAGACAATGTTCAGGTATAATTACTTTGATAACTTCTAGCTTCAGTCCACTGTCGCAAGTGGTAGAATTGGGCAGCTGAAGACAGTGTATAAATGCTTGAGTAAACTGAGGAAGGACAGGAAATAGAAGCTGTTTGGCAACACCCTGTAGACAAAAACAAGCAATTTAATAGGCTTTTCAAATATATTTACAAGCTTTTACTCAAGTCAAAATGTCTGTATAGTTATGTGTGGGCTAACAGTCAAATCTTGTAATCAGTTTTTACTCAAATCCAGCAGCTTGCCAGATCAATTAATTTCATATGACAACATAAACATCTGACTTTCCATCTTTTGGTCAGCAATAGCAGTGAGTGGACTTAAGATATGGGACAGCAGCTTTCTGTTGTAATAACATGTTCATTGAAGCAGAATCAGGTTTATTGATAGAGGTCATTCTTTGATACCTCAGTCCCAATAGTGACCTGGCTTCATCCATAATCATTTATAGACGACCTTCTAATGTTAACTTCTAATTTTTAGAATGAAGGAACACTTTAGTCAATAATACCTGAAATGCATTGATAGGTCCACATTACAAACTTTAGTCCAATGTAAATACATTTTTGGGTCCATATAGTTTTCTGGGCAGATGTGGTATTTAGGCTAAATAATATGATGTTATGGGCAGACATTAAAACTCAAACTGGGTGGACTATACCAACGACCTATTATGAAGGTTAAATTAGGGAGTGTCAAACTCATTTTTTAAAACGGTCCCAGAGCTTTTTTGAAAGCTGCTATGTCAAGAACTCATGATTTTAAGATAGTGGGCACTAAATTTGTTCATATATCTCATATAGTAAAATAGATATGACGTTTTAAAAAATTGGTTTTTAACTTTTTTCCAACACCCTAAAGCTAAAAAGTGTCATGTTTAAGAGGCTATATCTGAAAAAGTACATGTGACAAACAAGTTTTTTTTAACTCAACACAAACACACATACACAGAGAACAGACTCAATTTTTTTCAAAAATCAAAAAAAAGTACATCATTTAAATTAATTGCATTGAAATTGGCTTTTCTCACTTTTTAAATAAATTAAAAAAAGGAAGTAAAAAACACAAATTTTGTACATTTTTAAAACATCACAAAAAAATGTCCGATGAAAGAAAATACTTGATAAGTAGGCTATATCAAAATGTAGGGGAATAACGCTTCTTTGAATTTACGTAACATGTATGCCTATAACAAGTACGTTTGAAACACACATTTGATCAAAAAAGTGCAGGGGTTCACAATTAGTCTAAAATGCGTCTTTATAAAAAAAATTTTTTTAAATAAATTATGAGACCTACAGTTGATTTGAGTATATAGAAATAAAGAATAACCATAGCTCATAACAGGTAAACAGTCTTTGTGTCTGTGATTTATTTATATGCGATCCAATGGTGGCTGGAACAGTGCTAGGGCCACATAAAGAAAATATTTTTGTTGAAATAATTATTAGTCTCTGGAACCAGTAGTACATTTAAAAATAAACTGGGAGTGATCTCCCCTAAACTTTCTCGAATATTCTTATATAAAACAACAGGAACTCGAGCTATAGACATGATTTTTAATCCATTTTAAATACTTAAAGTTTTAAAAATAGAATAAAATCTCGTAGACAAAAGAATTGCACACCAAGGGAACGCCAAATAAAAAAGTGCATAATAGTGCGCAATATTATTAGTACTTTAAAAATTTACATTAGTTTTTTGAGAAATCGGAAGTAGCTTAAATTACTACTTCCGGTCAACGGAAATTACTCAAAATTTAACAGAAGGTAGAAAATTAGATCTTTTACTCACATGTGAAATTTCATTTATCTATCTGAAATAGTACTCAAGTTATAGGCTTTTGAAAAATTCAAAGTAGAAAAAGTACCACTTCCGGTTATCGGAAATCGCTCAAAAGTTGATACGGATCTACGATTTTGATAAAATACTTATATATGAAATTTCAACAACCTAGCTGTAACGGTACTCAAGTAATCGTGTTTACACACACACACAGACAGACACACAGACATACGGACAGGATTGCAAAGCCCAGTTTTTCAGAATGGATTACGCATAAAACCTCTTAATTTTGATAAATCTGGATTGATAATTTTTGCCCGATTAAAATAAGTCCTCTATACTTCGGATGTGATGAAGGACTGAGGTGTAATACGGTGAAAATTGTTAAAATTTCAAGAGATTTTTTTGCACGATTACAATACTTTCTCTATACTTCGTATATACAAGAAAGTAATAAGAACATTTATTTAGAATGCCTCAGTCGGTGTATCTTTATGTTATAAATATGTATTTATACATAGCTGGTTCAACAATTATTGCAATATGGTAGGGCTACACCAAAATACAATTGCTTATTAAATACAACTACGTAGGCTAAATAGATAACCATGCTAGTCTTGCATTCTCACCCTTAGTATCTTCTTCTCAACTATAACCTGAAAATTTGTAATCAATAGCCACCATAAACGGTCAACATAATTTAGGATTTTTCGTAGACAAGGGCTATATTCTTTTAAAGGAATCTAATAAGGGTTTATATCCTAGCTGATTGCAAAGTGTAAATGCATCTGCACTCGTGCACAGATCATTAATATATATGTAAAGTATTTCAAGCTAAACATCATGTACTATTTAGTCTAAAATCATCGCTAAAACCCAACCCATGCATCAAATTTGCAGAGTTTTCTACTTTAAACTATACCCATATATTGTTGACACTGGCGACGAAGTGTACAATCACGTGACCTTTTACATTTAACAGAAAAAAATATTCAGCTATTCTAAAAAGAATATGTCAGAAAAGACGAAAATATTTGAACTAAGCAATCATAAAACAAGTTAATAAAAAGTCTAGTGACAATTTAAGCGCAATTTCCTTATGTTATCCATAACAATTTTAAATCAAGATAAATCATATATTCAGCAAATAAATAATGCAACACAAGTAGTTTTAATAATTCAAAAAATTAATAAGTAAAAAAAAAACTTAGTTTTATTTTAACGAGCAGGCCTACACGATGCTCAGTTTAAAAATTCTTAATTAATTTTTTGTGACCGAACGAAAGGATATTTTTGAAAACTTTCTTTGGCAATATTGTTCTAAATTATGGCAGGAATCAATTGGTAAATGTTTCAAGTCGCTAAGTGGTCTGGTTGCCAAGGTATGGACCAAAAACTGAATTTTTTCGAGGTTTTTTGGCTTTTCCGGGAAATCCAGGAAGGATTTTCGGGAATTTTTTTGGCCCACAATCATCCTCGGAACTTGCTTAACATATTTGCTTTTGGAACTAGTCCTCGATATTGCTTCGTTGAGGAGGAGATACGACTTAAAGCTGCGGACACACACATCCATCCATCCAGAAATGACGAGTTAATAATCGCAATCCCCCAGTATGGAAATTGCGCTAAAAATTAGACTCCGATACAAAGTGAAGTGGGGTTTAGCTCATCGGACAAAGCTGTAAAATTACGTGGAAGTCTAATCATTGAATGGCATTATAGCTTTAATTATAAAAATATACTGAAGAAATCTATATATATAAAAAGCAATGTATGTTTGTGTGTGTGTGTGTGTGTCTTTTATGCATTACTACACTTCTCATCACATCGCCGTGAAACTTTGGGAAGTTGTGAATATTCCTGGGGAGGTTTCTGCGAAAAAAAAAATTCAAATTCGCAGGGGTGGCGCCCCGGCAGGGCGCAATTTGTTTTTTCTCTATATACGGTATATAAAAATAAAATTTGATTTTGGTTTGACGTGACATCATTCATCCGATAGCCATGAGACTTTGGGGAGTTCATTATAACACTCTAGGGAAGGGTTCTGTAAAAAAATAATTTTTAATTTCGCAAGGGCGGCGCCACGGGAGGGTGCAATTTTTCTCTATAACCTGTATATAAAATAATAAAAGTGAGTTGCAGTGACACCGTTTATCCGATAGGCATGATTCTTTGGGGAGTTCATTATAAAACTCTAGGGAAGGGTTCTGTAAAAAATCATTTTTAATTTCACAAGGGCGGCACCATGGGAGGGTGGGATTTTTTTTCATTAAACGGTATATAAAAATAAAAGTCGATTTTGGTTTGACACCATTCATCTAATCGCCTTCAAACTTTGGGGGGTTGATTAGAACAATTCAGGGAAGGGTTCTGTAAAAAAAAAAATCCTTTTTTAATTTCGCAAGGACGGCGCGCCAGGTGGGAGCAATTTTTTTCTCTATACACGGTATATAAAAAATAAAACTCGGATGCGGTACATCCGAGTGCCATGAAACTTTAGGGAGTTTCTTATGGGCGGCGCCATGTAGGGTACAATTTTCGTCAATACACGGTTTGGCGCCCAGAGTTTTAGAGCGACTATGTTGGCACTTGGCATCCGTTAATCGAGCTTCCTGCATAGCCAGTAAGGAGTTACAGGGGTGCCACTCATTTTTTAAGTGAATCCTGAAAATGAATCCCAAAATTTTACCAATCCTGAAACTAAAATTTGAAATTTTTGAAACCCTGAAACTTAATTCCGCGCGGAATTTCAAAATAAAATGGACTATTATTTCATTATTTTTGAGACATTTGATTCATATTATGTTCAATTTACATTCCTTTAAAATGGATTTATTTTCTTTGTACAAGCTTGAAATAAAAAATAATCTTTAAAGGATTGTGCTTACAACAAAATTAGTTTACAATGTTACTCCCATCTCTAGGCCTACCCCATAATGTGCTATTGTAGAACTCTTCCCCCCCCCCCCCCCAGCCAGCTTTTATAACATAACTATTTAATTTTTTAGAACTTCCTAGCTTGAGTTAAAGTGTCAGTCAGCCAACTGTTAAGTAACAAATATTTTGCCTACAGGCTTACATATTTTGTTTAATGATATAAAACGATGCAGTTCTAGCTTTTTTTTTTTCTTGAATCTAGAAGTAGGCCCTTATTAAAAAATAGCCACGTTAAAATTAAACAGCGCTTGTACTTGTAGAACTGCCTTGACCGAGAGACACGACTCAGACTTTGCTCGGGTGGTCTCGTGACGTAGGGCTTACGGTCAGCGCGACCTTGAAGAAGCGGGTAAGAGGTGGTAAAAAGTGACGGTAAAGTTGAGTGAAAACAGCACAATTCTATTTCATACATAAAAAAAGTCCTTCAAATCGTTTTTTTCTTTTCTTTTGGTAATACCAAATACACATTTTTTTTTTTTTTTAGATCGGAGCAAAATCTTTCGTTTTTTTTTTAAAAAAGACGATCGGCTAGATCTAGTAATTGTAGGATTTAGTTGTTTTTATTACACAGCCTAGCGGTATCCCATTGAAGACATCACGTAAATAATGCGAGTTTTACCCCAACCCATATCGTCATAAATAGCCACACCACGATTGACATCAAAAAGTTTCGTCTACAGCCTCACCCATCTGATACAGCCGATTTGTATTTGGTCCTTGGCGCACGCGTGAGATTGTTGCTGACATCATTTACTATTCATTTTTTTTTTTCGGAAAAGGCCATTAGTGGGAGTGTTGACGATAAAAACGATTTTTACAATGCCAAACTTTTCAAGCTTAAAACGATCTAAAAAAAATTTTAAACTGCAAACCCGGAAATTTTCAAACTCACATCTTGCGAATCCGGAAAGGGAAAAAAATATGATTCTCGAATCCGGAAATCCGGGATATCCCGGAAAAGTGGCACCCCTGGGAGTACTACTATATTCAGGCTTCTAAAAATAACTTTGTAACGCGAGGAAATCCTTCTGTACAGTTTCGTCACCTTGCAAAAGATGAAAAATAACTTTTTGAATACGAGGAGCTTACTGTAGAGTTTCGTCACTTTGCGAATGATGCAATAAGCATATATTATTAGACGATCCAGTCAGAAATTGAGATCGAGCATCTAATAATAGACCATTAGTAACGCTAGCATAGTGCATCAGCCACACTGATGTTTAAATCACGTCCAATAATTTTTTTTACGTGTTAAAGAAAAAAATCCTGTTCATTTGTGTCACTTTAGCGAATGAGGAAATCTGCATCATTGTTAACAGGATGCTATTTGGCACTCTGGGTTATCCTATGAGCACGATAACGCCTGTTAGTTTTAAGGAGCCAGAGGCCGTACGCTGCGCCTATGCGGTAGTGTAATGGGTTGTGGGCTCCTGAGAGCGCCCCTCTACGTCCCTGACACATAGGTGGTCACCGAAGTGTGTTCTACCTCATTATTTCGGTGAGTGATTAATGTACACTCAAGGTTTTCACGCGGTAGTGTAGGAAAACCCGTGCCCCGATATTTATGATCCAAGCACAGGCAGTCTTTACATTTAAATAACTCACTTTTAGAAAACAAGGTCACGAGTCTAAGAATATAGGATTGGTAACACATGGATGAAACCCTTCTTATATATTTCGTCGGACTTTCTTCTATTCCCTCGGCAACGCGCGGGGACGGGTACGCTAGTAAACTATAAAAACTAAACTCACAAACTTGTTTATTAAGTAGCTGCATGTTTTTATTTATTTTAATGAACTACCAAGCCTCTAAAACTTGCTAACATCAATTTAGAAAAGCTTGGTCGTGCGATGTTAACGAAGAAAACTGCCATTTTCTTCTACCGGGCCTAGAGTTATTTTAGTAATCGCTATAGTGTGTTTTGTCGAGCTTTGCCTTTTTTTTTACCATGCTAAGAAATGATAAACAAAATAAGTGTTTTAACAGGAAAAAGGACCACCTTTCTGAATATGCTAATAAAAAATTTATATGATGATAGAATCACATGGTAATTTTCAAATTTCTTAGTTTTTTAAACATTTAAATATTAAGTCTATTATGCATTTTTTTTTGTTTAGTATCCCACTAAAGGCTATTCAATTCTGCACATTTTACAGGTATTTGTAAAGAAAAACATTGAACGGTCAAAAAAGGCCTGTGAGTTGAATGAGGGAGGGGTCAAAATCTGTTACTCGACTGCCGTTGAAAAATCATCTTGGTGATAGTTTTCTATCGGTATAATGAGATATATAGTTTAACATCAACAACTATAAAAATTACACATAATTAGAGGGCTTAAAATCTACTTTTTAATGGTACCAAGGTTATTACTATACGAGCCCTTTTTATTAACAAAACTATAAAGTGAAAAGCTACTATATTTGGGCGATGCTGGCGAAAAAAGCGTTTTACTCGGCAGTTTGACATACCTAGTTAAATTAGTCATGATTTAGTTAAAGATTTCTATAATCAAAAGGGGAGATGAAGGTAGTCTGGCAGCAATTAATCCCCTGGTGATTTTGTATTATGATGAATATTTACAAACCTGTTGCGATGAGTCAAGTTACTAGGGTTTAGTTCACAGAGCAACTGTTGTCATTTTTTCACAGGAATCTTAGTGCTAGTCAATGACTGCCAAACTTTTTCAGCTCTCTATTTCAAACAATTTGGGTGTCAACTCAAGAATGATAGTAAGGAGTTGCGCAGCTTTCACCATAACCTTTGTTGCCATGGTAATCATGGCAATTGCCTTTAACTAGCTTCAGGTTGACCCTAACCCTTTAGGGCCTTAAAAATTAAGACCAGTAACAGTACACCTGTGCAGTGCTTCAGACCTTGCAAATTACCAACACACAATCAAGATGTTAAAATATCAAACGGTACTTTAATTTTGTATGATGTTTTCTATTTTACCTGGAAATAGTGTGCTCAAAGGCAAGAGTTCATTTTTTAATGTACCTAAAACATTGAGTCATATAGAAAAAAGTATCACACCTTGAGGTCGCGTAGAATTAACATATCCTAAAATTGCAGCTTAGTCTAGAATGATAAACAAAGACAAATAGCAGACCAAGACATAAAAAGCCATAAGAACATGTATAAAATTCTGCTCTGTCCCTCCAGAGCACTATGAGAATCTACAAAGAAAAGTTTAGGCAGTACTAGCATATGGCTCAGAGACCTTAAGGGTTGTGAAATCACAGGCTACAGCCCTTCATAAATAAATGCCTACAAAACTTGCTTGAGATTTATAATAGCCTGAAAAATCTCTATCGCCCATCTGTGGAAAACACAAGGCAGCAGCAAAAGTATGGATGGATTGGACATGCCCAGAGGAGAACAGATGAAAATGTTGCAAAGCGTTGTACTGGAATGATGAAAATAGCTGCAGGGCCTACATCCAACAGAAGAGTCTGTTATAACTGCAGCCCTTTGTTCCTCAGAGTCTTCCCAGAAATAACAATATAGATACAAAGTGACATTTCAATGCTAAGGGTAGACAAAGGTACAGAATATAGTCCAAGTAAAGACAGAACAGTTAGAACCCAACGGGATCCGAACCTACCATTCCGCGCGGCACCAAATCGCCTCGCCTTCCATGCATCAAGTCAGACGTGTAAACACTTCTGCCAATCAGCTCTACAAAAAGAGATTTTTTTTTATGACAGACCACTATAGTAGATTGTGCACGAGAGCAGAAGTAAGAAAGTTTTAACAGAAAAAAAAACCCAGCTGTCTTGGGCGCTTAGTCTTCAATGCGTTTTGCAAATTAGCGCTTTTATTTTTTTCCTATTACAGCCAATTTAATTTTATGTGTACTTCCTTAATTAAAGTGCGTTTTTATTATAAAGATTTTTATTCTAGTTTCAGTAGAAAATTAAAAAATCCCTCAGTGAACTTACCTTTTGTAGCTCCTGCATTGTGCAAACCATCCCTGCGACAACATTAAATATATGAATGGCTCGAGAACGTGTACGAATGCCAAAAGTCTGTAAATTAAAACAAATTATGCATTTTTAACAGACAAGGTTAAATAAAGTGAAAATTTTGAATTAAAAACCATTAAATTTCAATGGTTGATCGTTAAACTGCTACCCAGAGGGTCCCAAGTTCGGATCTTGGTCCATACTTGAGATTGCAGGATGTCCATGAAAACACCCAGCTCTGATGGATTCCTGAATCAAATGAGGGAAAGAAAAGGCTGAGCATAATGCTGACCACACCATCCCTTCATATGCAAAGGTCAAGAAACATATGGACTCATCTGCCCTATTAATCGTTAGGGTCTAAAAGGGAAACTTTACTTTTTTTAAAGCACTACCGCGTGTTCTTACACACCAGAGTAATGCCACATTTTGTAATGGTTTTATCATACTGTTATAATCTTGTACTTTTTGGAGGTGTGACCTTGTTTTGTAAAGATAAATAATTCAAATGTTAACAACCCTGCACTATATTTCTTCTAAATTGTTGGGGCTCGGGTTTGACCACATGACCACCCAGACTCTTATGGTTGAATTTTAGCCTTGAGTGTATGTTGGATCCAACCTCTGGTTAGGTATATTCATCCAACATAGTGACCCACCATGCCCCAAGTGTTGGGTGCTCTTTAAAATGAAAATAGGCGTCTGTTTTCCCGACTGTCGCCCTTCAAAAAATTTGAATTTTTCTTATTGAAGAAACCTTCCAAGAAGTACTCTTTAACAACTTCACAGAAGTTTCATGGTAATCACATGAAAGGTGTAGTAATGCATAAAAAACCAACAGACAGACAGATATACTTTTATTATAAAATATATAGACGACTCAGAATTTTGAAGTAAGACATTCTACACTGCCGAAAAACAGATTTCTATGCTCAATTTCAGTAATTAGTTAACAATGTTATGGTGAAAGATTGAAGTCTGCCACTTTGGGAACTGGAGGGGTGCCAATCCATCCAAGTTTCCATTGCCTGAAGCTTAATACCGCGTTTACACTTATGACATGTATACTATACATTTCTAGAACACAAAGCCCGCCAAAAGTTATTTTTATCTGGAACAATTTTCTCCACAGAACATGTATACTTTAGCGTTCACACTTACGGAACATGTTATAGAACATTTTATAAAACAAGAATGACCTTTGACCCGGAGCGTCTGCTATAAAGGCCTAGACAAATAAAATAAAGAGTAATCAAAGTAAAAAAAAACATAGATAATGGGCACACAGCTTTATTTTTTTTTTTTAAAAAGGAAAATGGTGTAGCCACCATGCTTGCGATTCAACAATAAATTATCTAAAAATTAGATAACATGAAAGATTTTATAAATTTTATTGGAGTGCCAGCAAATGGAGTTATTTTTTTATAAATATAATGCTGGGTATAGCACAGGTCATAAGACATTACCCACATGTTAATACCCCTCCCTCCCATCACCCAGTAGAATCACCCCTTCCCACCCCATCACCATGGTAGCCATTTCCCCAGCTTCTTTGCTTGTCTATATCCTTCAGAAACAGCTTCGGATCAACAGGGCTAAATATTTGTTTGCTAAAAGGCTCGATTTCTTCGAAAACTTGCATCTGCCAAGTTCATTTAACGTATTGAGATCACGTTACAACTATACTGAGTCTATTATTAAGAAAAAAGTAGATCTAGTTTATAGAGTAGGGCCTATGTGACACTCATTCCCCCCCCCCCTTCCTTTCTATATGTTAATTATGTCCCATTCTAAACCTAAATAATTAGCCTATGACTTTTTTATCTGCCTGTTTATATAGTCAGTTGATTATTTATGATCTCACGAGCACATTCTGGTGGGCCTAAAGATTTATTCATGTCAGAGGGAAACTGAAATATGTTGATACACTTAAAACAAAATATTGGTGAAGGAAAAATTGGAGATACGTTTGGTTAAATTATATTTTTTAATTAATTATTATTTTCGAAATTAATACCTAAACTTGTGTTAATGCCTTGGACATTACATTTTTTTTAAAAATTAAAACATGTTTGGGATTTAATTAAAGAAATAAGTAATTATAAAAATGTAATTTTTAGCAGGTCCTAGAGAAGTTATAAATTATGAAATCGTGGGTTCAAAAACTCAAGATCAGTATAGCCTATTTAATTTTGCAATCAGCTGAGCCTCTGGGGCTAAGATGCGCTTACTACTTTTCGACGCATGCGCACTCATCTGAAAATTCAGAACATGTCCTAAGTTTTTGCTCAGCGAGCGAAGACAAAAACATGACCCAGAACATAAAAAGGGGCGTGGTTTTGTGCCCTGCGACTCAGAAGATGTTCCATATACTCGTAACATGTTTAGTATACACTTTAAAAGGTCAAGTCTAGTATACATGTCGTAAGTGTTAACGCGGTGTAACAAGGATGAAAGACATTGAAAGATTACACAACAAACTAGACACATGTGTGTGATGTTCTACAGCTGAGTATAACAACTACAGACTTAATTTTGTTTACAAGGAATAGATGTAAGGACATCAAGTAGTGAGTATTTCAATATCCATTAAACCATTTTAATTTAAATATTAATTAGTAGGCTTACATATTTTTTGTTTGAACATCTTATTTAGGTAAGTAAATATGTTTGTCATTAGACTCATTAGTGGTTCAGATACTAGTTCAAAAGATTTTTATCTCCTCAAATTAATGAATCAAATTCTATTCAGTGATTCTCCTAATCTTATATTCATACAATATATCATTATAGTTTTATGATTACTTTTCTTTTTACATTGTATATTTTATTAATAAATTCATTTCCCCAATGATTTAGGCCTACAGTGTGTGTTGAAAACCCTGCAAGTTGTTCTCGGTTCAATGTAACTTTCCCTACACATAATACTGTTTCACATAACAATATCTGGAGAAAATGTTTGAAGAGCTAGTGACCAAGTGAACTCAGTGAAAGAATATGGCAACATTTAATTCTGCAAAAAGGAGAATGACTGAATCATCTATCCGAATGACTGCAAACCGCTTTTCAAAATCTTGTTCTGGACCCAAAACGTTTGTAGAATATATTTATAGCTTATACCTTACAATGACTTTGCAACTTAGTTTAGGATTCAATAAATATTCAATGCAAAATGTGTTAGTGGTAAAGTGTGGGGTTTTTTGTCCACTAAAATAACTTATGTTCTACTTTCCTTTATAGAATTCACCTTTGGCAAGAGAAAGCCTGAGCAATATGAAACCAGACAATAACTTGGAAACAGAGCATTTATTTTGGTCAGTGCACAAGTATTAACAGGAAGAGATAAAAAGAGCTGAAAATGAAAGTAGCTGTGTAATAATGATGATTAGAACTCTAGGTTGACACAGCCGTGGATATTATACCATCTATGCATATGCAAATGGCAAAAAGCTCTAAAAATGCACTAGTCTTGATGGTAAATCGATTTCTAGAATGACAAACTTTCTGAAGCGGACTTAATTTTTTTTTTAATAACTGCAGACTCAGAACTTTTAAAACTCAAATCCTGCAAATCCGCAAAGTAAAAAAAAATATCTAACAGCAGAGAGAGAAAATGGATTGAGCACCACTAACCTCAGCTCCAATGAAGACTTTGTACAGCTCAGGTAGGATGATGGGTGCCACATGACTCATCTGGGTATCAGTTACATCCTGACAAAATTCTAAGAGAACAAAAAACTTATTTAAGCATTTTTAAAGAAGGTATTTAAAATCTGTTTATAAATAGCTTTCTATCAACAATAAAAAAAAAAGGAACCTGAAAGCACTCTCATAGCACCATGGACTGTGTTTGGTTGCCCACTTATAAGAGCTTGCATTAACAAAGGAAATAAATCTGGCCATACTTCTGGCCAGTCCCAATGAGCGATAGCTGAGATAGCATATGCTATGCTGGAACGAACTTTACTAATAGACTCTGACAAACCCTGTGGTAGAAGCTGACGTATGTGTGCTTTCGCCTGAAATTAATATGAATACAATATTTAGCATTGTATGCAAATTAAGTCTAAAATTATATTTCTAACATGGAATTTAAACTTATTGTTAAGCAGTTAAAAACCAAATTAGTTAACCATTAATTTAATACCACGTTCAATTATGACATGTTTTTTGTAATTAAAGCATTTGTTTTTAAATTTAAATCATAAAATGTAAAAATCCTATTAAAACTTACAGCATCTGTTGTTTCTGGTGAGATATATTTGTCAGATTGTTGTGACCAGTGACACTGCACATATTGTTTCAATAGCACTGATGCCAACTGGCGAATTGCCAATGGGCCTTGAGCATCAACTGTAATTTCCGCTAAATAAACACCAAATTCTATAAAGAAATTAAATAGTACATGTAAGACAAATATTTGAAAGTACATTTTTTTAAAATTTCCGCTAAATAAACACCAAATTCTATAAAGAAATATTAAATTGTACATGTAAGACAAATATTTGAAAGTACATTTTTTAAAATCACACATTTCCAACACCTCATTAGGTTAAAGATAACTCTGAAAAAAGCAAGTTTAAAGTTGTTTGAGTTGGAAGGGCTTGAAAGTTATATTGAACCCATGTTGTTTTTATTGGGTTTATCTTCATGAAAGTCAATGTTCCAAACATAACACAAAAGCCAATGGACCCCAATGTGACACATTCCATGTACACTGGTCTGGATCTCAAAAATTCTACTGCTGCTTTTCTCTCATCTGTGTTCTATTATTTTCTGCATTCAATAGCTTTTAAGTGAACATGGTCACCATTCTCTCATGGGCATTACAGTCCAGGCTAACACCAGTGTTTATCTTCTATCCCCACTCTCTCATCTCCATCCTCACATGATCTCTGCATTCTATTCTTCTCTACCTCTCTCTGCAGCTTTTTTTTTTTGCAAGTTGGGCTCCACAAATACCTTGATGTACTGCATGTTTTATATTACATTGGTCCATCTGAGTTTACTATGTTGGTTAGGTACTTCCTAGTGTTGTCAAAAAATTTTGTCTAAATATTTTTGGCAGCTACTTAATATCAATACTAGTGTCTGTAACTATTCACTAGTTTGAAATAGATCAACATGTCTATATACTACTAAAAGTCAGAAGTTTGTATGTTTTTATTTATTGATTCTTTTGTTTGTCCACTTGATTAGAGTATCTGCACTATGTGTACAACTGTAAAATATGCATTTATGTACAGAATAATTTCTTTTTTCCTATGATGACGTTGTTGGAGAATGCAGTTAAACATTTTTTTTTTCAAACAAGAACAAAGAATTACAAGGATGTAATGAAAATCAATGTCAAGGACTGATATAGTCACGATGTTGAATTCGACGAGTGATGCTTGTTAGGTCTATCATGGCACAACTGCTTGCTGATGCGAGTCTTGTCAAGCTAAGATTACAGCAGTTAACTATTGGAATGGATTTTTTGGCTCTGTATGCATGTGGCGGACCCATGGTGGATATATGCGTATAGTAAAAACTTGACTTGATCGCTAATGTAGTATTTTTAAAGCGTTTGTCTAACTTAGTGATTTAAAAAATTAATATTGGTGGTTATGTAAAACGAATTTCAATTTTCCAAAATCATCATTTGATGTAAAATGAACAAAATCAAAGGAAAAAATTACCAATAGTAGTTAACACTAGTAAACTAAGTCAATTTAGCATATATTAACTTTCTGTGCAAAGTCATTATAACTGAAAAAATTTTTCCAAAGTCAGGTTCAGCCTATTATGAGCTAATGAAGAAAAAACTACTAGTACTGTGACCTGATTTCACTGGTGAATTTCTTGATTATTTTTAAATAAATTTTTAATAAAACTGCACAGAAGCATAATAAAATATCTTAGAAATGAATTTAGATTATATTTTTAGATATGACGCGACATGACTAATAAATCTAACCAAATTATTGGATTTTGGCGCTGCACAAATTTTTTCCCACGCTTTGTTTTTGGCAAAAAAATTATATAATAAAATGGCTTTATGGGGGAGGGTGTGTGTGTGTGTGTGTGCGTGTGTGATATAACTGACATCTTACCACAAGTACGGATTTGAGAATTAATTCCAGGCGTTGTCATTTATAGAAAGGCTCTGAGCATGCGGCTTTCTTTGATATTTAATGTACATTGCGTAGTTTAGAAGTTATATGATTTTAAGTTTACATTAACACAAGAATAAATAGAGCAACTTTCACTAAAGCGCCGCTTGTGAGATAAAGAAATTAGGTCAAAAGTACACCTAACTATTTTTATTAAAAAACCGGTAATTCAGATTACTAAAATTGATGATGGCTTCAAAATCAATGGTTTTATCCCTCTACCACATAATGAAAAAACTAAACCACGCCGCCAACTTCGTAAATGGCTTCGAGAGCTTGCGCCGCAAGATAATATAGACAAACCCAGAAGCTGTGAACTGAATGGCCTATATCGAATTTAGTCTACTGTTGAGTGTTTCATAATTTAGGAAATAAACTGGGAGTGATCTTGCAAAACATTCTCGAATATCCTTATATAAAATAACAGGGGATGGGAACTCGGGCTACAGACATGATTTTTAATCCATTTTAAATACTTAAAGTTTTAAAAATAGAATAAAATCTCATAGACAAAAGAATTGCACACCAAGTGAACGCCAAATAAAAAAGTGCATAATAGTGCGCAATATTTAGTACTTTTAAAATTTTTATTAGTTTTTTGAGAAATCGGAAGTAGCGTAAATTACTACTTCCGGTCAACGGAAATTACTCAAAATTGAACAGAAGGTAGAGAATTAGATCTTTTACTTACATGTGAAATTTCATTTATCTAACTGAAATAGTACTCAAGTTATAGGCTTTTGAAAAATTCAAAGTAGGAAAGTACCACTTCCGGTTATCGGAAATCGCTCAAAAGTTGATGCGGATCTACGATTTTCATAAAATACTTATATATGAAATTTCATCAACCTAGCTGTAACGGTACTCAAGTAATAGTGTTTACACACGGACAGACACACACACACAGACAGACAGACACACAGACAAGATTGCAAAATTGTGTTTTTCCATATCAGTGAGGTGTAAAACGTCGAGATTTGTAAAAATCTTGATTTTTTTTTTGCACGATTACAATACTTTCGCTATACTTCGTATATACGAGAAAGTAAAAAAGGCGCTAATATATGTTTGTATCAAGTATTTGCTTAGATCTATAGATTTGTATTAAAACATAGCTAAACTACGCCCCAACACTACCCCCTCTTCATTTCCGTTTCGACAAAGTGATATTTAATAATGGCGTCCTTGATGCCGTCCTAAGTGTTGAGTTAATACGGCTTTAGACACGATAAGACAGTCTAGTTAGTAAATAAATGTATTATATTTTGAACAATAAGAGGTTGAAGTGAAGGAGATTTCAATTTTGCTAGGGCGAATGTTACCTTTTTTAAGTTGAGCTCGAAACACACACTAATTAGGATCGAGATTCACTCTAATACCTCGGGTAAGACAAAGAACATAATTAGGTCACATGCACATTTTATAAGCCATCATTAACATATTTCAATTAAATTTCGTTTGTTCAATTAATGATGCAAGGCCTAATGTCTTAAACTGTACGTAGAATTTATAATAAATATATCTGATATTTCCTTAATAAACATATTGAATATACAGTTTATAACAAGATGTTTTGGTTTTTTGGTAAGTAATATAGCCAATGTTGTCATAATTGCCATGACATCATGCTAAGAATAGAGAACACAACCCAACGTAACTTTTTACCTTTTTTGGTGAAAAAAGTTTCGCATTTTAAGAAGTTAATAGGTCATTTTGTTTTTGTTTGTTTTCTCGGCCCCTAATTAAGCTAGACCATTAAATTTGGTCTCAAATTAACCAGTAGGTCTAAGGGATATGGTTTGTAATGATATATGATTAGTGACAGAAAATTTTAATTAAAAAATTTAATAGAAAATCTATCAATCATATAGGTCTATTAATCTAGTGTTATTTGGGCCGTTTTCCTCTAGAAATCCTCTCATTATTTACAACCACAAATCTCGCGATTTTTTCTGGCATTCTAATACCGCGTTTACACTTGCGACATGTATACTATACATGTCTAGAAAAAAAAACTTCGCAATAAGTTAGGCATGTTGGGATATTTTTCCTAATTATCATAGAATGATAAAATGTACACAGATTAATCCTATAATATACCCCATTGATAAAAATACCAAATTTATTATTCTAGGCCTAATAGTTTTTTTATATGAATTTTTAAAGTTATGTATTAAACCTGTTATATATCACTGTAACATCGGATTTAATTGTGTGATTGGCTTTAGGCTTGTATACCACTGCTGCTATTTGAGATATAATTATAAAACTTTGCACATTAGTGCTAGAGAGTGGGCAAAAGAAATATGAAAGTAAAATCTAAATTTGATGAAGGATAATTAGAACTAATCAAATCAAATTAATTTGGTGTGCTGTTCTATATTCGTCAATATGCAGACTGAAAGTCTATGTTGTTTTTTTAAATATTAAAATTGAAACTTTGCTAGAGGGTGGGGGCAATAGAAATATAGAAAAAAATAAGATTAAGTATGACTGCATATAATTAAATTAAATCGGCTATCTGAAGAAGCCTCCAAAGTTGGACTAAAAATCAATAAAAATAAAACAGAGGTCATCAGAATCAATAACAGCCAGGACCTGCCCATACAGCTAAATGGAGAAGATTTACGTGAAACGAACACATTCACATATCTGTGAAGCGTGATCAATAAGGACGGGGGAGCTGACGAGGACCATAAAATGTCTTATCAACAAGGCTAGGTGGGCCTTCAACTCACTGCACCCGATGTGGAGGTCCACGGCCCTGTCACTCCGGAGCAAAATTGAGATTTTCAACACAAATGTCAAGGCAGTGCTGCTCTATGGCTCAGACACTTGGAGGGTTACGAAGACAAATACTGATAAGCTACAGGCATTCGTAAACAAATGCTTACGGCATATACTTAAAATAAGATGGCCAGACAAAATATCAAACAAAGACCTATGGAGAACTTTAAAGCAACAGCCAATAGAGACAGATATAAAGACCTGTAAATGGGGATGGATCGGACACATATTAAGAAAAGAAAAAGGAAACAAAATCGCAAAACACGCTTTGGACTGGAATCCCCAGGGAAAAAGGAGGGTGGGCCGGTCAAGGAAGACATGGAGAAGAAAGGGTGAAGAAGAGGCGAAAACAGCTGGGCTCACATGGGCACAGATAAAGGGAGCAGCCCAAAACCGAGTCCGATGGAGATCTGTGGTTGCAGCCCTTTGCTCCCCAGGGGC